TGCCGTAGACAAGCTTGCCTCAGTTTATGTGAATGTGGTATCTTTTTGTCAGTTAAAAGTAATCGTAAGTATTCCTTCATTAAAGGTTGTCAATGTTTGCTGCAGTTAAAATTACATATGTGGAATTCTCGGGCCGTTTGCAAAATGGTTACATGACCATATAGGGCAGCTTTGAAAATAGTTGTCTTACTATTCAAATGTTATTCAAATAATATTTAGTTTGTATCTATTTTTATACACCCCTCACTAAAATATAGATATGAATTTCATACTATGAGTTGGTATGCCCAGCAGTCTAAGACAAAAGTGATGCTGATCATTTTTCCATGCAATCCACGTTAAGTTGCTGCTCCAACTTAAACGAGGCAAGATGATGATAACTTGGCAGGACTAAAAGAAACAGCACTTTGCTTAATGCGTGAAGAAATACTGAAGTTCTGGCAGAGAAAATCATGTCTGCTGCATCAGTACAAGGCACCATCTTATGCCCTACTCAGTAGTAAGGGGGGAGGCTACCTTCGAAGGGCAACCTTTTTGTTTGTTGAGATATCTTAATGAAATTTTCAGGGTACACTAATAGCAAAGCCATTTGAATAACCACAAAATTCCATGCAGTTATGTTCACTGGTTCCCAAGTTACAGCCATTTATCAAGGTAGTCCACATGGGTCCCTTAGTCAGGGTCTGGAGAATTTGAAAAATGTGCTAGCACTGTGAAATTCACTATGATGATTCCTGGATAGATGCTTTAGGGCAAGACAGAGCCCTTTTTTTTAAATTTCCTTGCCAAAAAAATGTTAGCAGAGCACTGAATTTAGTGTTCACAATTTGGCTCTCATCAATGAAGTTTTAGTTAATTATTACAAATTACAGACACAATAAATTGAAAAAGGCGGGCTTGTCTTGCCCTGGGCAATTTATTAAGGTGCATAATAAAAAAAACCTGATAGAAATCAGACCAGCAGTTCCAGAGAGATCACCTGACTAAGCAGCCTCACTGGCCAAAAAAGTCATTCTGAGAAAATTGACTTCGAAAGTTTCAAACATTTATTATGGTCTAAAATGACCCTGCAGAGTAGCTAGATGTGTCCTTAGGCTCTCTTTTTCTTTGCCGCTTTTGCTGCTTCTCATTCATCCGTTTCTGAGCCTTTCTCAGACGCAGAGAGTCTTTCTCCGCAGCTCGTTGAATGGTTAGGTGGCCAGGTGTGAGTCCCACTGATGACGACAACTCTTGGGTGGCCCTGTAGCAGCCGGCATTATACCGCAAAACTGCGTCATGCAGTGCTGTCTCGACAGCAATCAATGATGCATGTTGCTCCTTGGGCATCAAGGACCATAGGACAGAATGGAATGACTCCGATGCATTTTGCGTCTTTGCTCCCAGGCAGCGTTGCAGTAGAGAAGCCTGCGAAAGGCGCTGGTAGACTGGCAGCAGCGCTTCTGCAACGTAGCCCGGAAGATTGTATTTGTGCTTTGGAGGTGGCACGCCATTCCCCTTGCAGGCATTATGACGGCACCACGAGTCTGCACCTTCCGGGCACAAGTCATGGTGAGGATCCTCGTCAGTTGAGGTGACGTGATAATATGACGCCATCACTGCACGCTGCATTGCAGCCACATTGTTTGAATTGTTCCGCAGTGCCCAGCCATAATAGTCTGTGAGTTTATCAATAAGGGCTTTTATCAATCTGCCCTTCCCTCCCAGAGCCTGTTCGCTTTTCTGCACAAGATTACGTAGGGCTGTGCCCATCCTCTTCCGGACATGGTTCAAGCATTCTTCTTTCACAATAGGGACTAGCCCATAAACATTGTCTTGTTGAAGGGCAGAGAATGTGGCGCTGTCCCCATCAGATACAATGGTTGTATACCGGAGGTTATGCTTGGACAGTGAACGTGAGAACAGAGTTACAGCTGCTTCAACCTCCATCCTCCCAGACTTGGTATCAGTGTTTTTTTGGCACACATGGTGCTTCAACCAGCTTGCATAGCCCTCATCTTCAGGCTTTGGTCCTACCTGGCAGCCGAGATACTGATTCGATAAAACTACAGCATCCAAGATGAGGCCTGTGTGATACTCGATGATTGCACCAACTCCAATGTGAGATGTATGTCCGCGCTTATGCCACGTGCCATCATAGTTCACTGTAATGTTCTTGCAGAAAGATGGGTCCATCTCCTTGTACACCTTTTTCACAGCAGAAGCCGATTTTCATAGAATTTATCCAGGGTCTGTTGCTGTGGTTCTCTGAATTGCTTCAGGTGCCTCTGGAAAGTTCTGTGGTGCAGGCCACGGTGGGAAACATTCATAGTTGCCCAAAAGTCGTTGAGGGCTGTCTGTCCCTTCCCTATTTGTTTCATGGCCGTAATGGCTCTTATATTCACGTCGAAGGCCCTTGACTCGTTCTGACGAGCAGAGCTCCACGAACTTGAAACTATTCCACAATGTGGACATACCAGCTCAAGCTTCGTGGCAAGTCCAAGCTGGGTGCCTCCTTGAACTTTCATCCCGGTCGCGAGGCAGCGCGGGCACGGGGTCTTGGACAGCATGTCGCTAAGGGCATCCCCTTGCACGTGGAAATATCTCTCGCCTTCGGTCGTAGCGGTGGCAGCTTCGGGTTCAGGCATCATCGCTTGAAACTTCCTCTCAGTCGCTGGCATAGCGCCAAGCTTTCGTTGCACAGCAGCACGTTCTCTCTCCGCCGTCGCCAACTCCTCGCACGTCCGAAAACGTGTTTGGAAGTGCACAGTCGACGACGCGGTCTCACTGTTAGGGGCCGGAATTAATGCGGTTGGCGAGCGCGACACACCAGGCGCACTTGAGCACGAAACACCAGCCTCACTCGTCACGACGGATCCTTGTGCCGATGGTGTAGAAGTCTCGTCGCTAGAAGCGTCGACGCAATCGTCTTGAAAAGATGAAGCGGAAGCATCGGTGCAACTGTCGCCGCGCGTGGGCGTGCAGGTGAGCTTCGCCATGCGTACGAGCTTCAGCTGACGCTTTCTTGAACCGAACGCGTGCCGAGTCTTGAACTTCGAAATGCCCATCGTGACCGTCAGCGCAACAATCCGCGTCCCGTGAACACGGCGGAAGATCGTCTCGTGAAGACGGTAGAAGATCGTCTCGTGAAGACGGTAGAAGATCGTCTCGTGAAGACGGTGAAAGATAGAGGAGCACGTGTGACGACCGATCGGAATGATGGCAAACGGGGCACACAAAGAACGCCGGCATTGCAAGCGCCGGTGCAGACGACGAGCCGGCGCATGCCGGAGAAGCAGCTACGTCATCGCGCGCAGCAGCCAATAGGAGCCGCACGTTCCCCCATTCCCTCGAGAGGCGTGCGCTTTGTCCAATTGCGGCTTCGCATCCAGGCAGCGGGACATTCGAAAGCTTCCGCGAGCCCCCCAATCGTGAGCGACTCCCGCCTCGGAGCGCCACCGCCACTGCCGCGGGTGGCGAAAAAAAAAAGCGCGAGAATTCACGAGCAAAACAACATCAAGATGGCGGCGATCGGCCGAGCGGTTGGGAAATGGCGAGCGCGCGAAGTTGGGGTATTTTTGGCACTCGCTCGCCGCTTGCCGGCTGCCGCGGCATGTTATAAAATTTATTTGATGTACTTTCGCGATGAATTAGACATTGATATTTACAGTAGAGGCAGTTTATGAGTCATACTGCCCGAGTATGTGGTTTTCAAAAAATCTACTTTTTCGCGATTTTTCGGTTTTCAAAGGGCGCGTCCCCCCTTAACCAGTTCCTGGCTCTAAGCAACATGGTCATCATGATGCAATCATTTTGCTTTCCGCAATTTTTCCTTCCCCCCAATGGGAAAGTGATTATCAAAGGGGCCCATTTTAATCCCAAGCAAGGCATAAATATCGCGCAAACGCATAAGCACCTGTGTGTGTACATGTGTGTGCCTTTTTTTTTTAATGACGACAGTCTTTCTTGGGGACCTTTGACACAAAAATTTTGTTTCTGTCTGTCTGTACATTTGTCTGTTTGTCCGCCCTTAATGGTACCTTAAACGGCACTAAAGTGACCAAACGATACTACAAACGGCCAACCCCATCCGCAGCGCCCACCAATATTTCTCGAGGTTCAGCGTTCATACTTGTGCGATTGTCAATTAAAAAGCAATTATTGTGCATATCTGAGGCACAATAACAACACGTCAATATTATGTATGTGAACTTTTACTAAAAAAGGCTTACATAAGTAATTATAAGGACTGTAGCGCTTATCATGCTGCGCTGACCATGCAACGCTTGCACGAAAAGGCAAGTGTTTCCAAGGCTTTGCTTAGACGACACGGTTGTGGCACCTACCCGTCGCCTGGCATTGTACATCTTATCACCTCAGAGACCGGTGCGCAAGCCCCCCACTTCTTTTTCCAGGATAACTGCCATAACGCTCATGTCTCACGTGTGACATGACTTGATGCGCTCGTTCGCCTCCGCTGCATTCTTGAGGCACTCTAACGCAGCGCCTCCAGAATACAATTCACCAATTTTTTAGCACAAAACATTAAATAAACGTTTTATTTATTCTCTCCAGACGGAAGACTATCGTCTTTCGACGACATTAGCAGTGTAACATGCAGATACAAGGCCAATTTTTTTTTCATTCATGTTTTCTGTGCTCTCTCAGCTCTCTTCCACGACAAAATGTTTTCTCTTTGGAATTTCTCGATCCTTATTTTTCGAGCACTTTCAATAGACCCTTTTAGAAATTCAGCGCCACCTATATAAAAAAACTGAAAATACATTTTTTCCGCCATGTCTTGTTGACCCAAGGGACGCTCATTGGCGTATCGTTCAAGCGCAGTAAACGTCTTGCAGGAACGCAAGCGGTGTCTATGTCCGCTGCAGGGAACGCTCATCAGCATCGCTGGGACTCACAGCACGCCAGCTCGCACGAGAGAACAAGATATGGCGGAAGAGCCATGTTGCCAGTCTATATTTTCTAAAGGGTCTATTACTTTGTGGAAGTGAATGGACTAATAATGCTGATATTATTAGTACTTTATTTTACATTCAATTAACTCCACATGTTCCGTTCATTCATTGCTAGAAGCTTACTTATGTTGACTCTGCCTAGTTTACGTGACGTGGCACAGTCACCGCCAGCGACAAACTTTGCAAAGTTCTCGGGGATTGTAACCACTCAAGAATTTCAGCTCGGCTTTTCCTTCATCTGTCCAACCTGCAAAATAAGCATCTAAATATTAGGCATTGTGGCAAAATGGATCCATTAGGCAATATGCATCCATAAGCCTGCCACCATATTCATTAATTGGCATTGTGTAATGCTCTGCGGTTATCTTTGATACATATGCACAAACACACTAGTAAGTAGATGGAAGCATGCCTAATACGATAGCTCAATCAGCATAATATCGGTAGCATTGCGAGAAATGTATTAGTGCCCCGCCGCAGTGGTCTAGTGGCTAAAGTACTTGGCTGCTGACCCGCAGGTCGCAAGATCAAATCCCGGCTGCAACGGCTGCATTTTCGATGGAGGCTAAAATTATGCGGGCCCGTGTGCTTAGATTTGGGTGCATGTTAAAGAACCCCAGGTGGTCAAAATTTCCGGAGCCCTCCACAACGGCGTCTCTTATAATCATATGGTGGTTTTGAGCCATTACACTCCACATATAAATCAATCAATCGAGGAATGTATCGGTGTTATCCAGTGGCGGCAAATATACCTTTTTTCCACCCACTCCATTTTAATTTGGTGAATTCTATATTTCTGTTAAGCAAACAATGCTTTTTTTCATCATCTGTTAGTTCTGTATGGCTGTCACTAACCAATAAGCAAGTCCTTCATGAGAGAACGATGGTGTGGCTAATTTTCAAAAACGTTAGTTAGTGTATATTTACTTGCTACTTCAGCAGTGCAGTGACAGCCCAGATCATCTCAAGCAGAGAATTGAAGGCAATTTTTACTAATCAAACTTACTAGCAGCAGACATCAAAACAGTTTTTGCATTTGCCATTATGCTGTACCATCAAAATGGACGTGTTAAAGAGGTACTGACATGGGATTTCTCACTTCCGTTTTTTTTTTTTTTTTTTTGCATCAAATGACAGGCCAAGCCCCCGAGAGCGTAGGAAATGTGCCAGTAAGCATGAGTGTGCCCTGAAAAATTAATTACAGCATGCTTTCGAAAGCTAGTTTCCATTCCTACTGTACCCTGGCGTCATGACATGGTATGAGCAGCGCCACCCAGGCCTGTGCACACGCAAGTTTATGTGACGTATCCTCGTCCGCGCATTGCTTTTTCAATTGTCTGCTTCCTTTGCTGCGTGCCGCACATGTGGCAACTGTCGCGGCAGGGGGGCACAACAATCCAAAGTCGGTCAGCCACCGTACAGCACGAGCAGACGATCGACAAGATGATGCGCAAGCTGCAATTCTTAGTGTTTCGGTGCTTGACGTCATCACAACTAGCCTAACTGCTGCGTGAAGTCACCAGGAATAGTACTGTAGCCTGATGTCAAGTTAGTGTTGATGTCGGTAGGTGCGCCGCAAGAAAACTGACTTTAATATCAAAATCAAATATCTGATCACCATTTGCTAAGAGTTACACTTGCTCAGAGCTATCTCTGTATACTAGAGATTCGTATGGCAAAGTAAAATCACCTCCGAAAAAAGGTGTCAATACCCCTTTAAGCATTTTCTGAGGTGAAGGGTATGAAGGCATTGCATGTAAGAGCAAGACAGGCACACAAAGCGCGTTGTGTATTATCTTCCTGCCTTCCACTGAAAAAACAGTTTCCCTTATTACTGCGACAATCTCAACACAAGCACTTTGTCTCACTTTGGTTACAAAAGAGAACTTTACAGAACAAGGTCTTACCATTTGGGTTCTGAATGTAACCCCGATCGAGGTAGTAATCAAGGCAGCTGTCGATTTCCTTTTCACTGTATTTTGGCACATGAACTGGTATGAACGGTTCAAAGAACTCGAATCCCTGTTAGAATAACAAGAATGATCAGTTTGTTGCATTGACCACCCTTATATTCAGGTCAGAACGTAAAATGGGATGAAGATCTTAAGGGACTCTAAAGAGGAAAATGATTTTTCTGTTATTAGTCAATTAACCTTCACAGTTCGAAAATCACCGCGCTCGCCTTGAGAAGATGCTTCGTAAGCGAGAAAACTTAGTAAACTTGGTACTCGGTAAGCCGCATTAAAAGCTCCTGCACCAGGCGATGTGACATCATAAATTTAGACAAAGTTTACCTGAGACCTACATAGCTCCTAATAGGTAAAAATGAAGCACAATGTCTGCTGATGGGGCCATAGACTTAACATACTACGTTTCGGAAAATATCATTGGGCCATTGTCGGCAAAATACAACAAATACACTTTGAGCTTTCAGACGTACACATTTGCAGATTTTGGTTTAAAACTTTAATATGGTATTTTGACCTAGATTTTCTCCATTAATAACAAAATTATGATGGTAAAATTAAGGACATTAGAGTTCTGAGAGAACATTTTATAATCTAAACCATTTCATTGTTTCACTTTAGTGTTCTTTTACCAAGCGGGTCACACACTAAACTATAATATGCAGCGGTCCTCGCAAATCAGCGACCTCAAACAGAATAAAATTGGGTTAGCTCCAAACATCAGTGCAGACTGGGTTTTGGAGGGTTAACAAACTAAACACCTATTTGACTGTGTAAAAACTGTGGCAAGCATCACTTTCGCCCATTTCACATGACACTTAACGCAGCGATTTTCAGGCTGTGAATACGCTCGGAGCGAAAAAAGCAGGCAATCTCTCTGAATGATCAGTGGCGGGTGCTCAGCGTGTTGGAAAGTTTCTGCTCCATTTGCAGCGGTTGAGCCATTTCTAGGTGAACCCTCGCCGAAATCAGGCCAATCCAGCTGACCAGTCGAGACAGCATGTATACAAGTTTGTTTTGGTTATGGCGGCGGTTGCGCACTTTTAAATGAATCAAACTTGCAAAATGCTTTTAAATGACGAAAAAAATCAGTGCCCTTTGCTTCCGGTCATGAAAATTTAACATCATAACAGGCACATTGTTGCAATACATTTGAAAATTTGTGCAGCTTCTATCACGGAGAACAAAAGCAAGCAGGCTTGCAGTGCCATACTGTTGCAGAGCAAAAGTTGCAGCCCATTCACAGCCAATCATGCGCTACAAACTTTTGCTTATAAAACTCTATTTGAAGTGACAATGCGGCCTAGCTTAACCAAACCACTCACGTCGAGGAGCTGAGCGCTACTACTGGGTTTGTAATGCCAGCAGAAGCATAGCCAACACAATATTGCTCTTTCTCACCGCGTAAACAGTTTTCTCACGCTGGACAGCTTTTTCACAAGGACAACACCAAAAACAACATGTGCAAAGACATAAGAAGCATTTCAGACCTACCTCAAGGCCCAGGAAGATATTTTGGATAGTAGCAGGGTACATTCTCATGTGTGAATCCAAGGTGCTTCAAGGACAGGGCAGCCTGATCTACGCTCACGACTATGGCTGCATTCCTCTGCAAAAGACAACAGCACCTATTGTCCACCAGTCCCATTTCATTCAAGTATGTACATGGATTATCAAAGTATTGCAGTTTTTACAATTAACAACGCCCTGGAAAATAGGTAACTGCCCATGTGCAACAGCCAACCTATGAATGTTGGAATTCGTTAAAGTTGTGAGGCGAAGACAAAATAATAAAAGGACGAGGAATGACACACTGTACACCCACACTGTAGGATATGAACAAAGTATTGTAATTAATGATCATTGACCTTTTGTTCAAAATCAACTCCGGCATTCAAGGTCAGTGGATCTCAATGAAATTCTTTCTGCAGCCCATTATACAAGGGCCCCACACAAATGTATTTGCGGGTGGAAAGCTGTCACAGAATTTTAGAATACTGCCTCTTCATATGGCACTAGCATGAACAGTCGCCTGCTATAATCTACATGGTAGAATCGTTATTGTGCTACACTCAATGTTAAGTTTTTAGTTTAGAGCAAGAGAAAGACATGCCACAAAGAAAGAAGGTAAGACGGGATTTTCTTGTTCTTGCTGTGCCCTTTTCGTGCTCTAGAATCTTGCCAATCAAGCACCAGCTGGGCCCTCAAGATTTCTTTCCTCACTTAGTGAAGTTTGCATTTTTGAAGAGTAGAAACACTTTGAGCTCTAGAAAGCTTACAGACCTTCCTACAGACATTCACAGTGAAATTTATGATATAATCAGTAATTATTATACATACCCAGTCGTTCTTGAGAATTTCCTTGAAAGCCCTGACTATTATGAGGTCCTTTGCTGGAATCTGGAAAGCAGCAGTGTAAATTTTCACAGCTCACAAGAACACGAGGCTTCAAACTAGCTTAAGATTACAATCAAGCATCATTGTAGCGAAGCTACACCCAACATCAGAATATCTTAGTTATTACTATGTTCGATGAGATATCAAGACTCTACTGTATCATTATGATATGCAAGCAGAACCCAATAAATACCACAAACCGGTGAACGCTTACCAATGTTCAGCGACATGTTTGTTTTCGTAAACACTGCACACAGTGCTACACACAAAGAGATATGACCAGCACTCACATAAGATCTATCAAGCCGGCGGATGTAAGTGTCCTGCCAGAAGCTGTTGACGCCTTTGACAATGACCATGGTTTTCATCCTTAAACAAAGAATACAAGTACCACTTTTGAAAATACAGCATGCCTCATATTCCTTACGCCGAAATACATGACACAACTCCTACAACGCATTCTGCTTGCACGCATCGAATTATAGGAAGTGTGCTGTTCGGCTGTAAAATGTATAAATCATGAAGCAAGCTAACAATTTGGCAGCACAGGTGACTGACCTCCCAGAGTCTGTGTGCATCTTGATCTCTTGCAGGAGAGCTCCCATACAGCTGCACGCGTGCTTCATGCGTTCAACTCCCTGCGTGTGCGTATACAACATCCAGTCAAATGATCGTCAAGTGCAATGTGAGGATTCTCATGGTATCAGTACTCACATGCTCCACTATATTTGTCAGTGGCTCTCCCTTCTGCGTAGCTTCACGTTCAGACCAGTTGTAGGTCTGCGTGGTGCTCAGCTAAGCAAGAGGAAAGTTGACGTGAGATGTCTGACGACTCTACTTCGATTCCTTACAAAAGCACAGTGTACAACAATTTGAGGCGACAGAGATGAAGTAAAAGCTGCAAATAATGGAGCTTAACTGACCTTGCAAATCGGATGCTAGATGTGTCAATACTGAAGGTCAGTTAGGAAAGGGAGCAGCACAACTTCAATGCCACAAATAACAAAAGAAATCTGCTACGACTCAAAACATTCAGCTACGAAGTTGAAGTTTAAAAGCACTGTAACAAACAAGGCAATGCACATTATCTCAGTGCCCAATGCAGAGTGCCCAGGTGCATTGGACACACCAAAGCAGCAGTTTCCTCAGTTAGTAAATGGAGCATATAAATTTAAAAGAAGCAGTATCTTTTTTCCACTGCAGGTCCCAGATTTGCAAAATGGCAGTGAGGTTCTGCTAAACGTGCTGCGTCACGGTGCAGGAATAGCATTATTTAAAATTATGTTTTTACTATTTTAATATTTTGCTATAATATATGTAAACATGCTGTATTTACTAACAACCTTTTGGTTGTTGCTTAGCCATCATTGGCTTTTGTGCCGTGAAACATGATAATTGTTCCCATATTTCTACAAGGCCTGCCACCTCAAGTTTCAGTGTGAGAATTGAAATGTGGGAGCAAAGTTTTGATTAGTGTCTAACACTGGTAAATCTCTACAAGTTACTGATAGATGGTGCTAGGTGCCTTATCAATGAAGACATCGTAACTAAGCCTTATCCCACATTCAGCACCAAGGAAAACTTCAACTTCAGCTACTATTTTTCTAAATGATCGATTTAACTACATTTTATTTTCTTCAGTATGTCGCTTTTGCAGCCCGCCTTATCATTGATATTTTTATGGAATTTCCTACGTCCAGAAAATCAGCCATGGACTGTAAATGCCCTCACAGTTGGCAATGAGCAACTAAGGTATTTTGCGAAATGAGTGCACTTGTACGGCTAAAGTAGCTATTGTACCTAGAACAAGATGTGTGTGTGGGGGGGGGGGGGGGGGAATAAAAAAGATGTGCAGGCTGTACACGAGTACCTAAATATGGTATATACAATGGGTAGAGACGACAGTAAGGGAGGGAGCAAGCTGTTAACAAAATGGGCACTACATCTAAGGCAGGGGCCAAGATCTTTTGCTGGGGGAGGGGAGGGGTAGCCACAGCAAGTGAGTTCCTTCAGGGGGGCAGGAAGGCTGGGAACATATGTGTTTTGTTTTGACTGTGCTTGCTCTTAAGGGAAGGGGGCGAGGGGGGAGTAGAAAATTTCGGGGGGGGGGGGGGGGGGGGCGACCCTCTGCTGGCGGCTCTGTTGGTGTGAAGGAAGGAGTATAATGAGCCGAGGCACAACAAAACACATTCACATACGTTGAGCTCTTTCAGAAGTGTGGCATTGAGGACACGAAACTGCTGTAGCCAGACTGCTGCGTCAATGGGGGAGTCAATCAGCGTTTCATCGTTTGCATTCTGGGCATGGTCCTTTGGCCGTTTTACCCAATGGGCAGCTGCAGGGAAAGAGAAACGGCACAGTGAAGTGCCAGAGGCAAGAATTATTTCTGGCATCAGAACACAAATGCCGAGCGCAGTTTTGCATGCAACGATGTAACGAATGTCTGAATAGGCTTGGTACCTATGAGTGCCATGACATTTCTGCCTTTCAGTTTCAGTCGCCTTCATCTTATAATTACCACACTTAATATAAAAAAAAATATGGGCCCTGTGCTTCCCTTGGTTTAACATCACTGCGTCTAAAAAACATCATCCCCTAGACCCGTTTGGCTTACTTGGTCATTTTGTTCAAAAGAAAGACATGTTTTTCTTTTCTCCACACGCACTATTTGTACTCAAGAAACTGAAAAGAAATGTTTACTATTACTCACCAACAAACAATGTGGCACATAAGGTACACAATTCCTAGGGTTTTATGTCCTAAAACCACAATACGATGATGAGGGACGCTATAGTGGAAGGTTATGAAAGTTTTAACTATCTGGCATTCCTTAACATGCACTTAAATCCAAGTACAAAAGCCTCAAACATTCCACTTCCGTCGAAATGAAGCCGCCACAGCTTGGATTCAATCTCGTGACCTTCTAGTCTGCAGCCGAGCACCATACCTGCTAGAGCACCGTGGCAGGGTGGCACATAAGTTATAACGGCATCGCCTCTGCCAGAATCCCAATTCAGAACCGAGTCGAAACTATGCAGTTTTAATCGCATATGGCCTTAACACTGTTACAAGATAAACTACAAGTGCTTCTACAAATGTGCTTCATGTTTTACCAAAGACAAAGATAAAGGTAAGACTATAAGCAAATGGTTTAGAAGCAGTCAAACATAGCATAACACATTTGATCATAATGGCAAGAGCTCACTTTCCTTTCCTGTACAGATGACACTCTCTAGACAGGCCGACTAGACAATTACGTATTGTGAGTATTGCATAATGAGAAAATTTAATGTACACATTTACTTTTTCACTGTAATTGCCACACTCACTTATTTCTTTCACTTTATTCTAACAAGGCTTCAGCCACAAAACCCTGATACCACCACTCGTCACAGGCCGCGACAAAATGTCTGTAAACTTCACAATTGTTTCGTGCTGCTCTTTCTTTTAAAATTACGGGCAGGGCACAGGTAACCCTGTTTGTTCTAGAGTTAACATGAACACCAGCAATAACACTGGAAGGTTCAATATGGCATGCCTAAAAGCAGACAAATTTTACAGACAGGCAGACTAACAATAGCGGTCTGCCACCACTTTCAATGTACAGCGTTCAATGCTCGGAATTTTGAGTTGCTTAGCTTTCTGGGCACAAGTAAGCCCAACGAAAGAGTTTCGTCTCTACCAACGTGGCTGCCACCTTCTTGCACTGTCAATACCGTGCGACTATTGTATACCGGGGGTCTCAAACGCACGCCAGCCGACCTTTTACCAGCAGCCTACGGCCCACACATGGCAGTCTTCAGTAGTCTTCGTGCCATATTTTTTTAATGCCCTTGTGACTAGCTGTTTGTGACATCGATAATTGGTGCTTGCATTATTTTATCACCTATCATATTAACACTTCGTCCAGGTAGACTGCACTTTCTTTTTTATGAGATACCCCATGTGGTACTTTGTGTTGAAACGTAACCACAAAGCAAAATCTCTGTTCTGTGGAAATATTAGTCATTATGGGGATTAGTATCAACATATTTTTCAAATATTGCGTCAAATCCCTCTCATAAATGATCCATACATGAGGCATGTGAAGGGACTTCTTTCAAGTGACAATGTTACTGACATTCTATGCAAACTCAACATCTTCCCCCCACATCTAACTTTTTACACAGTACATCCCAGCCTTTTGCGGGAGTGATTTTCACGAACGCAGCCCTGTTGCTAATGTGAGCTTGAGACGCTTTATATATACAAATGATTGTTCTTTTGCTGGTATGTCTAGTGCATTGGTTCCACAATCTCATTTTTCATTGTAACTGTGCGACATCTTTCTAGCTCTTCTTGTTTATAGTTTTACACTGTGCCATTCTTGCTTTTCGTTCACACACACACACCTGCTCAAACTTGCGAGGACCAGCAAATATCAAGGACTTTCAAAGCAAAACAAATTAAGAAAATGCCAGCCTTCTTAAGCACTTGATACCAGTGTTCAGCAAAAGTAGCTTGCATATCTGAAATCCAGGCACAGTGCTGAGCGGTGGGAATGATCAGCATTCTAGTTTCATTCCTCGGAAAGTGCTTGCTTTAACAGTAAATGAACAAATGAATTTGATTCAAGTAATCATAAAGGCTAAAGTACTCGTTGCCATCATTCTCAAGGATAAGAGACAGGTAACCCCTTTACACACATATTAAAATTCAAAGTTTGCAAAATCGAGCATAAATACTCACCCCACTCTTTGGGGACAACAATCCAATTGTTTGCCAGTGCGTAATGCAACAAATGGGCTTGTGTGATTGCTTTCCCACAGCCCATTTGACCATCTTGATCCAAATGTCAAGGTTTTTTTTTTTTTCAGTTTCGTTTTCCTGTTCAGTTGTTCAATTGACATAAACTCCAATTTCGTTTCATATATGTCCCACATACCAATAGCTTTCATCAAGAAGAAACAACACAAGAGTAAAATAATAATTTGAACTAATGAAGCATTTCTCTTCTGTTTTCTGCAAACACACGTGTCAGTTTGATATGTAACAAAAAGAAATTCATGTCCAAGTGTTTTACATGTGGAATATATAGTGACACAAATAGGAAAAAGCAAACACTTGTGAAATAATGAGCTGAAAACAATAGGTCAGGTATTACAAGAAGCTTGGAGCCCAATAATAGTTCTTTTCCCTCACCTCCCCAGTATTACAAGGATAAATTGGTCTACCTTAGTTATCTGCGTAATACTACAATAATAATCTGTCTAAGGCTGGGGGGAACTGTTTGGGGGCAATAAACATCTTTCAGTGCTGAACATTTCAGTCTAGAGCTTTGAACCTCTTGTTCTGAGCCAACTTTTTCACAAGTCTGTGTTCTTCCCTTCCTTGCTACTATGTATTCCATAGCTTTCAATCAACTCTCTTAGCAAAAACGTCTATAAAACTTAATATACAATAGAGCTACCTGTACTTATATTCGTCAAGATGCAGAAATCATGCAATTCTTGCTCTCGACGATGTTAAATATTTCAGTAGACCAAGTCATGCAAACTGAACTGTTACGCTCTCTGAATAGTATTGAGGCATATGCATATACTAATTGTAAACCCTAAACTAGTTATGTTACTGACATGTGCAAGTAAGGCTGGGTGGGCATTAGAGAGCTCCGGCACATTTTAAGTACGCATTGCATAAGCAGTGAATTGAACAGGATGGTCATGTCATTTTAAGCAAATACTCACTGTTCTTAATATCTGAAAACCTCGAATCCTATACCCAGTGCTAGTACACTCAAACCTTCGGTATTACGAATCTGGATATAAGGAAGTGAATGAAGAATAGCCTTGCAATTGATAGTGTTAGGAATATACATTTATAACGAATTTTCGTATATTACAAACTTATTTTCGTGTAAGATGCAACTTCGTTATAATGACTTTTGAGTGTAGTGCAGAGCACTAAGGCAAAGAAAAGACTGTGCATGTGGATACAAAGCATGATCCTCAGGGCTGGCAGTGAATAGTCGTACGACTCAATGTACGACTTCACTTCAAGGTATGGCTGCCGCACCATGATGGACATCTCTCCAAACATTTCATTCTGCAATGGAGACAACATGGTGCTTATAACAAACCGTGTCTTACACTCCTTCGATTAACTTGGTGCCTCTCCTATCCTCTCAAAAGAAAAATAGTAATACACACACGGGGCTACCACTGCCATGCAAAAGAAATGAAAAGCATACAATTGCACACAATAACTTCAGTGACAGTGACTTTGCACGTTTGTTCAACACTTGGGGCTTGTTTGCATTTGGGTGTCATTATTCTGACACTGCATATACAGCAAGCTTTCCTATAATATCTACGTTCACTGCGTGTTGTTGAAATAGCGAACGAACACTTACGCTAATTTTCTACTTTGAACTTGCTGTCATCGCAAGTTTCTTTCCTCACTTTGTTTTGAGAATTTTCCCACTGGCTCAACATATACAAATGAAGACTTTCTACTTCCATAATTTCTTCTATTTAATTTCTGCAGCCAAGTTCTTTGGCCTTTCATATCCTTTACATCTTAATCTCAGCTTGCCCAGCCTTAGAAAAGGGTATTCGAGAGTGGAAAAGAGAGGACATGGCGTGTGTTGATGATGATCGATGAGAAAGGTGGTGGTGAAACGAAACCTTCCCAGGGAACCGCGAACAGATAATCGCAGTACAAGCACCATGTAGGAATTTCTTACCAGCGTTTGAAACTTCTTGGGCACCTTGTACACCTCGAAAAGCGATTTCTGTACATGTTCCGGGACGGTGTAGAATTTCGCTTCGTGATCGACGGTGTGGTTTGTCTGCAAGAAAGCGCGAGGGTGTCACCATTCCGTGCGGCGTAAAACGCCGAACATAATGCATCCTTACGGGATCGGACTCCGAAGTCCTGAAGTGCGGCAAACTCTTTTCAGGAGCGACAGCGACTTGAGTAGCGAAACACTTTGCGCACAAGCGCGCATGTCTACCTTGCTTCGAGCCCAGCAGCAAGCCTTCAAGGAGAAAACCAAAAACAATCAGAACACACCAAGTATACTCGAATTGGCAATAGGTGAGAGGAATGACGGGGAAGTTCATTAATACAGTATAACGAAGACTCACGGCCGATCTTTAGAACCATGCTGATCGTTTGCAGACCGCCGCCACCTTGCCTACACTACCGACCTCTATGATTTTTGTATTGTCATTCTTCAACATTTATTCAACGTCTTGTTTTTCAATTAAAGATTGTCTTGTTTTGCTTTCCAACTTACTGAACATTTGCGAGTTACTTTCTGGCGTGTGCTTTTTTTTTTTGCCATTCAGAACATCCGGTTCCGTCTCGTCACACGCATCTACACGCATGGAACTCGTAGCAGCTGAAGTTTCGGCGTGAAGTACTTTCTTCGGCGCGTGGTAAATCGTATTAATAGGAAGATGCTCGCCAGCGCTGTTTCTCGGCTGCCCCTGAATGTCTTGCGCGTGACCGAATCGCCAGTCGCACAATGCTTGGTGGGAAACGCATTCAGGAGAACTCATTCCTTCGCCCTTGCGAGTAGCACCTCTCGCGCAAGCGCGCCGGCGCTATGTCGGATCTTTCGAGAACCACGGGACGTCGGTGGTCACTGCTTTCGAGAAAGCCGACGTTATGCTGGACACAGCCACTGGCAAAACGTTCGTCACATCAAGGCGGCCAAGGACGCGCACAAGATGTCCATGACGGACAAACACATGCGCCTCATCGAAGTTGCAGTGAAAGCCGGCGGCGGGAGCACAGACCCGAAGCTAAACCGTACGCTGGCGAATGCCATCGAGGGCGCCAAGAAAACGCAGGTCGTATCCAACGCGAACATCGAACAAGCGATACGACGCGGAGCGGGTCTCGACAAGCCCAAGAACCTGAAGAGTGCCAACTATGAAATCATAATGGAGCACGGCGTGCTTCTCGTTCTCGACGTCGAAACGGGAAACATTAGCAAGTTCGGCAACGACCTGAAACAAATAGCCAAGAAGCATACGTGCAGGTTAACTCGAGGTGGCGTCAAGGAACAGTTCCTGCAGAAGGGTTTCGTTCGGGTCTCTGGTCGGGAAGATGGCGGTACCCTAGATCCAGACGCTGCTCTCGAGGTTGGCATCGAGCATGGAGCCGAGGAAGTGACGGAAATCGACGGTGACTCCAAGATGTGCGAGTTCCTGTGCGATCCGAAAGACTACTTCGCCCTCTCCAAAGCTCTGTCCTCCAACGGTTACGTGATTGCCGAGTGCGGCCTCAAATTCGTGCCCCACGTACCGATCACTGTGCCCGAGGAGCACTTGGAAGTGGTCGGTAAACTTTGCGACGAACTTGAGGAGCACCCCGATGTTGTTGCGGTCCACACGAACATTGCGTAACGTTTTATAAATATGGATGAATGCTAAATGCGATCTAGTTTCGAAAGAAAATCATGTACATAAGATTATTCATTTGGTTGATATTTTTCATTTGCCCTGGCTAAATTATTAGAAGCAAGGCACACCGCATAGAGCTTGCCATTAGTGTGCCAGGGTTTCACGGGGCGGGAAATGGGCTCATTGGACTTTTTAAGAACGCTCACACGCTGATGTTACTGTAGTGAAGGAATGCTCGCAGTTGTGCTGTAGATCACTGTGTGGATATGTCAAAAGAACGGGCAAGTCTGACTTGAAGAGGTGTGCATTAAAGATCACCTCATAGGTGTACCTTACCCAATTAAACCCTGATTTTGTAGGCTCAAATATCTGTGAAACTTGTAATATTTTTGCTCGATCTAATTGTCTGAACATAACAGTTTATGCCTTGAGATATTGCGTTTCATTCTATAAGGCATACTGTAGCCCTGCTGTGATGGTGTGGTGGCTATCGTGTTTGTCTGCTGACCCAAAGATGACAGGAGAATCTTGGAGACCCTTGCACTTACATTTGCATGCATATCAAAAAACCCCAGGTGATCGAAATTTTTAGGGCCCTCCACTACAGCATCTCTCATAACTATGTAGTGATACTGGAACGTAAATCCAACCGGTTAATATATTCACGTATACTGTAGCAATTGAACAGTATATGTGCAGTGACCATTGTAGTCTAAAAGTTTGCTAGGCATCCAGCATCAGAGATGCCTTGTGATAAGTAGTGCACGATTTGCCACTTGCGGGCAATCAGATATCGAATAGACTTGTTGCGAAAATTACAAGGCAGCTTTCCTGCATAAGAACTTGTGCTCAATCATGGTGCCTCTCATCAATGCAACAATAATCACGTGCGGTGCACAACTTCCCATGTTTGACCATGGCTGGGCCAGAGGGGCGTTTTTTTTTTTTTTTCATTCTCACTGTGCATTTATGCACAATGGCTGTGTCTCCCGTCCTCGCTACACTGCGCATAACAATTATAATGCAGAGGGGAGGCACCACTAATGAGCTGGTAAGCTGCCTTGCAGCTTTCAGAACTCGTTTGTTGGCACCTGTAATAGCTGTTGCAGTGCTAGTTGAATGGCAAAAAAAATTAAATCATCAGCTGAGCCTATGCAATATACAGTTCATGGCAACCTAGTATCTATATTATGATCAAGATTGTCACATGCAGTAGTAGACCCCGAATGATTTTTAGCTTACAGCTGCTAGAAATGTACAATGTTCTAGTAGCTTGCCCAGCTGGATTCTGTCACCAAATGAATGTGCTGCTTCTGTGTCCTTGTCCTGAGTTCTGAAGTTTTTTTTTTCTCACATCTAAGTATTGATCAACTGGCCTAGTTTTCGCTCTTCCGAAGTGTAATTTTCTTACAGACTCTGTCTTCCTAGGCTTTCTCCACTCGCATTCTGCAACAAGGTGCAATGCCAGATAATCCCTGATCAAAATAAACAATATGCAAGCAAAACAACTGAATAAGAACATATAACAAAGTTCTCAGGTAAAATGAAAGATTGTGAAACACAGAGACTGCCACCATTCATTTAGAAAGGCTAAAAAATGCATAATTGTCATTTAGTCTTAATCATATGACCAAGCAGCCTACCCGACTTTCTTGCTTTTTTTTTTTTTTTTATTGAACTTGCCACGGTGGTCTAGTGGCTAAGGTACTAAGCTGCTGACCTGCAGGTCGTGGGATCAAATACCGGCTGCATTTTTCGATGGAGGCGGAAATGTAGGCTTGTGTGCTCAGATTTAGATGCACGTTAGAAAACCCCAGGTGGTCGATATTTCTGGAGCCCTCCACTACGGCGTCTCTCATAATCATATGGTGGTTTTGGGACGTTAAACCCCACAAATCAATCAATCAGTAATTTGACTTGCCTCCATGATTACCTTATTGCTAGGGAGCCAGTTTCTGACCTGCTGTTGTAGATCGATCGTTGATAAAGGTTCTGAGCTGCCAAGGTCACAGACATAGGTTTGACTTCTGGCTGAAGTGGCCTCATTATTCACATTGCACTATAATTCTGCATCACCAGCATACAACACCTTGCAGGTCTATCTATGCAAACTGGCCGTAAAAATGTTTGCAGCATAGTTAGTAAGCCTTTCTAGATCACTGTAATGAAATCATGGTTGCTTTTCCTTCCCAGGCTTGCTTTTCAAAACAAATGCCATGTTGCTTGTCAATCTTGAGGCAAACTTGGTCTGCACGTTCAGCAGAAGCTGGTCGCTAGTATTTCAGTGGGAAGCATGACTTTATTTCCCCAAGTAATATTTCAATGTTCCCCAGAAATGGGACATCTCAAGATGGATAAAAGCAAAAAACACATGGCAGGTCTGGTTATGGGGTGCATTTTAACGTCATCTTCAATGCAGGTCGAACAACCAGTGGTTTTCCTAGAGATAATATTAGTCATTGTGGTGATTTGATGTCCCTTCGATGGGATTCCACGAGACAATGGTAAATTTTTCCTAGTTTCTGCAGTTGCCAAGTCACCTAAATGGCAAAAACCGAGGTCAGATTGATCTCTCAGTTACTCATACCCAAGTGTCAATAAGCACATCTCGATGCATATAAGAAACGCGCGAGCTGCCCACTAAGTTCCGCCAGCAGCTTGTAGCCAGCCAGACTCCGAAAATGGGCCGCATGGTTAAGCTATTGCACTTGAATGTCGGAGGTCTCATGTTACCCCCATGCGCATTTTTGTTATGAATAAAGGTGCTTAAGATAAGGCAGTGAACTTGCAGAAGCTACTTGTAACAACATATGCTTGAGGGCAAGCATTCTTGACACTAGCGTATTTGAAAAAAAAAAAAACGAGCAGAGGAATCTGCTGAATCTAGAACCCAACGTGCAGCTGGCCCTGAGTATTACAGAGTTTTGCATCTATTTGTAGGTGCAAGGAAAGCTAGTTCAATTGTAAGACAGTCAATAAATTTTTATTATACATATTTGCTTTTGAATGTAGAATCAGCTGAACAAATGCTTGCATGAAAGCAGAGGGGAGGGGTTCCTTGACACTTAATGGAGCATAGGAGAGTTTTCTGGGAATAACACGCTTCAGAACCCTTGCTTCAGACCAAGCTATGCTTATTACCTTGCCCAGTGCATTGGTTTGTGCTAGCTAACCTGAGCAGCACTTTTGAGACGAAAAATCTTAAAGAACAGACTAAACTTTTATTAACTGAAAGCACATCATTGTAATAATACACAGCTACTCTTCCCACTGCCGGCCAACATTAAGGTGTGATAATAGATCGGCAGCAAACAGGCTCTTGAGAGGTTTCCGTTGCAAAACTGGAGCATAGTCATACTTCCGAAGCCTGCGCCTGATGAATTCTTTTGGCATGTGCTTTTCTTCCTCCTGTTCAGAAAAAAAACTTCTATCAGTTCAAGACAGCCTGACCCTGGAACACATGGACATTTCGGACAGCAACAAATTAGGCAACTAATTGCAGTTCTTTTCAAAAGGCCCACAGATAAACAAAATTGAAAATCTCACACTCAAGCTCTTCATGCCTAATGTAAAAGGTTTTTCTAGGCCGAAGATAAAGTTATGGGGCACATGTAAAATTTTTTCGTAGTACAAAGATCACAACGGCATCCCACAAGGGCATAGGTAAAAATTTTTTTTTTTTTGGAGGAGGGGTATGCACAGGCTAAGTGTGCCATTCCCTGGCTATACCACTGGACCCGCATACAGAAATGTTCACAATGCATAGGGACAGCACAAAACACCCTCAACTCAAGCAACCAGATTGAAACTTAACAGCATAAAACAACCAATCATGTCACTTAGAACAAGTATCAGAGTCGCACCTACTACACATTCACAGTAGCTGTGTAACTCAAAGAATTAAAAAAGTATCAAATTGTTATATAGAATTAAATCAGTGTGACAAAAGTTACAATAACTGGTAACACCAGTGAACAGGTAATACATGTCACACAAGCACTTCGTATCACAATCAAACCCAATCAGGACCAGGTTTCTCAATTTTGGTTGGCTTCCTTGGCATGAGACAAGAAATACAGCAAACTACAACTCTGGGCCCATAAGGTTTGACTGTGGTTAAAACTATTTTGTGTTACTAGAGCATAAGGCAAAGGATAAGCAAATCCACTTACAGTGGTTAGGTACGGCCGACTCAGATACATCATTGTTTTTTCTTCTATTGCCAGCTTCTTCCAGAGTTCAACCTTCATTGTTGATGTGACTGGAGGGACAATTCTGTATTTCCTAAAAATACGAAATGCAATTTGATGATAGATTGTTGTCTGGTCATGCTATCCACACAACTAAGCATCGCAATAAGACTGTCGATATGTCAAAGCATATTGTCATGTTCGTACGGTCGGTACTGCAATGAACGCTAGAACCATACCAATATGGGCGATTTTAAATGGCACCGACCTGACGCTGTTTTTTCTTCATTGTTGCTTTAAACTCACTGTTTTGATGTCGCAGAAATTTAATATAAGCACACCAAAGATATCAGGTCACTCAAAAACAAGACAGCTATAGTTAGTGACAAACACATGAACAGTATTCGATTTTTTGCCTCAACAAATTCAGAAATTGATAATATCAATGTGATTATTAAAGAATATGTGATTAATTATCAGTGCAATACAATCACTCAGAACTTGTGTACTACATATAAGCCTATTTCGCTTCGAAAGAGTGAAAAGTTGGAGGGCAACCACGATAGCAGCCCCCTTCCCCAAGCCAGGGCTTCTATTTTTTATTCTTCCCTTGCCTTTCACAAATGCAATTCCACTGTAAACATCTTCACTCGAAAAACTTGTTTACATCATCTCAAACGAATACCATGCGACTTGACAGAGGCTTTCGTCACGCTACTTGACGGTAGGTTTCGTATCGCGCTGAAAAATGCTCATTCACTTCATTACTAACTTCATCCCAAGCTCATTTTCTTCTCACAGTTAATTTATCCTCATTTATGGTGATTACTACGCGCGCTCACGAGTTTGTAAAGCTGTCTGCGCGGAAAGGATTCTTATTTTCGCGGAAATTTATTCGATTCCGTATTTTGGAAACAACCTCGAACTTGTGCAAGTAAGCTTACACGACAATGTGCAGCGAAGACATCTTTAAAGCGGCATAGTATACGCGAAGCTACAAGTTTCAACCTGTCAGTACACATAATATTGATGCGACGGGGAGCCCCAATATTCTTTCCGACAAGAGTCCTTCAATGCCTTCAGCGAGTCGCATACTAACAACTCTCCAAGCCCATTATATATGAGGTGCACGGTCTATTCTTTGTGCCTGGAGGTTAGTGACCGGGACCCGGTTGCATTTTAAAGAAACTACGGTATGCGCCCGGACGACTACAGATAGCGATCATCGGCTGAACCCGACCGGAACAACCGCAGCAATGCAAGTGCTTTAAACGGGTGCGGCTAAATCATCGAGCTAGTTTCGAGATTGCTAGTGCACCGCATATCTTTAGGTCAGCAGGAAAGAATAAACGCTAACATACGTGGTCAAGTTAAAGGTCGTTACCAAGATTGACTCATTACTTACCCTGTCGGTCTCTGGCTTTTCACGAAATGGAATCGTGGGCCACCGAAGCCGCGCCTTTTGAAAACGCCGAACACCACATCTGTGAGTCTCATAGTTGTAGTTGCTATGAAGACAAACACTCGGGAATTAATAAAATCAACAGTAATAAGAATGCTTAGTGGCTGCTACTTGACACGAACACGCTCGCCGCTGTTTCACTTGGACGCCGCCATGGAGGAAATGATGCGATAGCGATCGTTTGACTAGCTTTTGCGGAGGCAGTGGCTACTCTAGCCGTGGCTACAGCATGGATGGCGTAGTGCGTATTGGTGCGCACGGCGGCAGCTGCAGTGAGACAGCCGTTCAACTTGAAAAGTTCGTAGCGTCAGCTCATGAAAACCTGTATTCGAAGCAATAGGCCCAAAACATAAGATCTAATTAGCAAGTCACATTTGTTTTTCTTGGCTTCCTCAGCCTGAGCTGTTCACTGTGTCAGGGGAGACAAGCTGGAAGAAAGAAAAACATTCCCACGCAAAGCACGTTTCTTTTCAAAGCTTTCTGACCACCACACTTATCGCCCCCGTCGCACACAACAAAAGGAGAGGCAGAGAAAACCGAAAGCTGCGCTAGACGAACGCCGCCTTTCAGCTCGTCCGTGCTTCACCGACGGCTTGTGCAGTTGGATAAGCACGCTAATGGGAATCGGTGGTGGACCACACTGATTGCTCAGTCAGGTAGTCCTGTTTGCGTCGCAAAAGTAGACACAAAAATACGACAGAACACTAACGAGAAAGAAACACACACGCACTCGTTTGCATCCGGATAAGATTACACAAGTGAACTCCGATTGGTGGACGCGCTTGACACGTGGCCGTCTGCGAAACGGCGAGAGGGTGCATAGTCATGGTAGACGCGGGGCGTTGCAAGTAACTTTCAGAATAGCGTTAGGTGCCATGGAGTACGAACAGCTTTATGCGGGCGCTCTTGTCGCCTTTGCTGCCGTGCTTATGCTCTTGCAGCAGTTCTGCCGAAAGTCCAGCTTGAAGAAGCTGCCACCTGGGCCACTAAAATTGCCTGTTATCGGTTCCTCCTATATTATTGGAAGGTGAGTAGTGGTGTTGGGGCGTTTTTATACGTATTCTAATGCTCTCTGTTCAACGGATCATCGTTCTTTTTTTCAGGTACTCGAACCCATGGGATGCGTTTAGCGACCTGCGCCGGATCTACGGTGATGTGTACTCAATCAATCTCGGCTCAAGACGATGCCTGGTGGTCAGCTCTCTTGACGCTCTTCGTGAAGTGTTGGTCACAAAGGCGACCGACTTCGCTGACAGGCCGGATTCTCTTCGTTACCATGCGATATTCAAGAACAACCGGAATTTCTGTACGTTGAGCGCTTCTTGTTCAATGCTGGGCAACCTTTTTTTTTGTGTGTGTGTGTGTGTGTGTGTGGTCTTGACTGTTTCTCCCTCTCTTTTTTTCTTTAGCTATAGCGTTATGCGACTGGTCTTCAAAGCAACGAACAAGACGGGATCTTTGTTACCCAGTCATGCATCCGAAGCAAGCGTCCACAGAACAGTCGCGACTGAGTAATTGTATAGAAACTGAACTGAGATACCTGATTGCCGAGCTTTCCCGGACCGCTGGCAAACCCATGAATCCACGACAAGTGCTCCTGGTCACCACTGCGAATATCTTCTACACGTTCTTCTGCACGGAGCGCTTCGATCCTGAAGACCCAAAATTCTTGCGCATTGTGGACTTTTACAATGAAGTATTTCATCAGCTCTTCCAGGGATTCGCCATCGATTTCATGCCTTGGTTAAAGGTGAGTGGTGTTCCCTTGTAGCACTAATATTGCTGCCGCACTAAACTGACTGTTGAATTACTACAATGCAATCAATTGGTTTCACCAAGGGCGCAGCCAGAATTTTTTTTTTTTTCGGAGGAGGTTCAACCAAACCTTGTGGGTGTTCCTGCGTGCGTTTGTATATGTGCGTGTGACAGCAAAATTAAAGCAACCCCCCCCCCCCCTTCCTGGCTGCGCCGCCGAGTTTTGCTTCAGTTGCCGTTCCAATTTTATCGAGACCATGCGCAGAAGTGCTGAACGGCTCCATTTTAGATTGAAGGAGCGCATAGACGAAGCTTGGCCAACAAGCGCGTATGTCTGTTTAACGTTGTCCGTTTGCCACACAATGAGGCTGTCATCAAAATTGGTCGAAATGATGTGCAGTTTTCTTGTAATACGGATATCCTTTCGTTTCGGTGAAGGTTTTCCTTTATTTTAGGATTCGCCCAACTTTCAGTGCAATGAAAACAGCACGACAACGGAACAAGGGTAACAGACATTTCAACCTCCGTCCCGTTTTCGCGCTGTTTTCATCACGGGAACGTGTACCAATGGGCCCTGCAAAATACCCCTCTGAACTTTCACTTACGTCAACTCCAGAGACGGAACAGCAAATTTGTAGAACGTACTACATTCTCTTCTATAAGGCTGCCGTGCGCCACGACAAATAGGAACGCTCAAAGGATACTCGCCAGTTACCTTTTGCCTCGCTAATAAGTCGCTCGTTACTAAGGAAGTAATCGATGTGCTAAAAATGCAAAAGAAATATACGATTACGAGCAATTGTACGTAATCGATTACGGACAAGTTAACCTTGAAATTGCGGCACTTTTTTTTTTTTGGGGGGGGGGGGTTCTGCGAATTGTTCCTCGTACTTTGTTATATCGCTACGGTTTTTGACGACTTCCTTAGTCTTCATTTGCGGCTACAGTCCTCCTCGGAATTCCCATTTAAAGGGTCCCTAAACCCGTACACGTGCGCACAGGGGTGGCAGAGCGGCCCCCCTAGTCATCTAAGAAAATGGGGAGGGGTGAAATCTGCACCATATATACGGTGACTTAATCGCAAGATGGGGGCCCAATTTCCGGGCCATACGTTCACCTACTACCAAGAGGGAGGGGAGCACGCCTATGCCTAAACCAGAGTTGAAAGGCGAGACAGCGTCTTTCTCGCCTTCGCTTCTCTTCGTACAAGCGCTCCACCCCGCTTATTTCTTCAAAGAACGCGAGAGATTACGGCACTGCGCGTCGAGTAGGATTTAGCGCTTTTCGGCAACACCCTGCCATGTCCGCTTGCGCAATCGCAAACGCCGAAATGAAATCACTTTATCTCGCACGATAGTCATGCGAGACAAGTCAGGACGCGCATGCGACGGCATTGCAAAGCAGGGCGGGAGATAAATCATAACAGATGCTTCTCGTATGCTGACCAGTCGAGAGCCCATTTCGTTGCGACGTGCATGTGAACTGGCGCCACGAATCGTGTCGCGAAGATGGAAGACGCCGGGAGAGAATGGAGCACCTCCGTTTTTTTTTTTTCGTATTTCAGAGGTTGTTTAAGGGCCCTTCAATGCCACTGGTGTAACGGGTTTCGGTAAAGGGACCCAGCAGACTGGCACAAGAGGACAGAGCGGTCTGTCCTCTTGTCTGTCTGCTAGGCCATTTTTCCTTTACCGTAATGCGAGTACGACGAACCAACTCGCCCAGTCTTGAACACTCTAATATGACCACGTTTCGGAAGCATTTCTGCGACGTCAACGTAAGGCCTTTTGTCGTGCGATCCGCAGCTTCCACTGTCCTTCTGGAAAAGAGCCGATCATAAACAGTTTTACATCGATTGTGTTGCAGCTGCACAACAAAATCGTAGCCAGCCCCAATGACGTCACTGAATATCTTCTAATACACGTCACATGCTAGTCCTCGTAGAAAAAAGGTTTTTGTCTTGTTTGTTCAGCAGTAGAACTTGTTGTAGATCGTGCTCTTTGGAGTTCACTACATATACGGCAACTGGCAATTTCGGAAGTATTTTTTTAGTTGTAATTTGTGTAAGAATTTCATTATCATGTTCCCATTTTATGTTTATGGTTGACAACACCTGTTGGGAGAAATGTGTTCCTGTAGATTTTACTGGCTGGTTTGATCCGCGCCATATTGAGCGGTTAGCCTTTGTGTTTTGTATCTTTAACAACAGAACCAACAGTGTTACGTATTGATTTGGTGCATACGATGTTTCGTGGCGACACACAAACACGAAGCCTTAGCAGCCAAAGATGATGGCGCCCGGATGTCTTACAGAAAAACGCCTCTATATGGCGTCCCACTTAGCACGCAGCACGATTTACAGAAAAGAGGAGCGCCTTTACGCGAAGCAAACCTAGTGCATATCGTTCCCAGTATACTGAAATAGCCGCTACTAATTCGCCTAATAATCAAAATGTAAATGAGGATGTACACATGTCGAAATGACATGTCTGTGCTACTTACAACAACGTATTAATTGCGTTCTCAATATTTTCTGTACATAAAGAAGGCCCGCGAAATACGAAAAATAACACGTGACTGCGCTCCCACCCGCAAAAGAAAGCAGCGCCCTCAAATAATCTTACTGCGAGCAACCGCTCTGTCTCTTTTCCGCTGCAACAGCCACCGTTTAGCACGTTGGCATGGTTACAGGTCGGGCTCCGAGATGTGTCGCAGTTTTGCAGGTATTCCTTCCACTTCACTGTACGTCACTACCACCGTTCACATTTCACGGTCAACCATTCTCATTGACAACGCGACCGGATCACTGTTTTCATTCGAGCGATTACCGCCTGACTCTGTGGGAGCAAGGCTCCGCGTTTATTCGAACGGGATGTGGCAGATATCGCGATCTGTTTTTTTTTTTTCTACATTTTCTTAATTGCTACTGGCTATCTCAGTGAGCTTATTTGAGGGCGCTTCCTTCTGATGCACGCAGCGATGTTATTTTTCGCATTTGGCGGACTTTCTTTATTAGCAGGAAGAAAATTGGCGGCAGTACGTTGTTGAAAATAGTACAGACAAATGTCGTTTCAATATGCGCACATCTGCCTCATTGACATTTTCATGTTTAGGCGAGTACGTTTTGAGTTATAAATATGATTGTGACTAATTGTCATCAACGAAAAAATAGTATCGGCTACTACCGTACACTGGAAACTATAATGCACTAGCTTTGCTTCGCATAACGCCATTCCTCTTTTTCTTAAATCGTGGTGCGTGACAATTGGGACGCCCTGTGTATAATGAATGCATGCATATTATGCGCGTCGGATGAGCACACCACATTCGTTACGCCATATTTACATGGCCTTGAAATCTATTCAAATGTGACTTAAGTTCAACGTGCAGGCTCTGTCGGCTCATTGATGTGTATTTTGCGTAGTAATCATTGGCCGAGTACAGGTGAGGACGTGTATAGGCTTTAGCTGCGTTTGTGCTTCTGCAGCTGCATCTTTAGCGCATTGAGTGATGCACCCATAGACGTTCACACGAGGGTGGGACAGGGGAAGTGACCTGACTGCCCCCCCCCCACAAAATTACCTGAGGGAGCACGATGAATGCCTCCCCCACCCTTTGATGGGAAACCCTGCACACTCCTATCGATGCGACGCGTCGGTACTTGCAGGTAGATTTTTATGAAAGGGAACACGGGAGCGCGTGGCCTGCGTGCTCTGGCGGCTGCTGGCAACGCGTTCAAGCGGGAGCGCAAGAAACCGCAGCCCCATTTTCGTACTCTCGCGGCGAGCAGAAAGCCGTTCGTTGTTGATAAAGAACCAGTGGCAAGATTGCAATGACCTCCCCCCTCAAGGCGACTACCGGCCTTTTGCGTAGTCGCATTGGAGGGGGAGGTGATTGTAATCTGGCCAGCTGGTTCTATATCAACAATGGTTTTTTTGCTCGCCGCGAGATGACGCGAAAAGAGGCAGTGGTTTCTTTCGCTCCCGCTCGAACGCGCTGCCAGCAGCCGCCGGATCACGCAATCCCGTGTTCCCCTTCATAACAATTGACACTGTTTCTGCAAGCAATATCGATTCACAGCATCGTTTTTCTTCGCACTTAGGTGTTGCAAAGCAAACAGCTGTGTGTTCTCAAGGACAAGTCAATGGAAATCTACCGCTTCACCTTGGCCATCATGGACAGGCGGGAAAAGGCCATGGCCAGTGGAATCTGTGCTGGACTGGATCAGGCGCGCGACCTCATGGATGTGTTGCTGCTTTCGCTCAAAGGTCCCAACGCCGAAGGCAAGCTGGACAAGGTCGACGTCGCAGTCGTAATAGAGGACCTCATCGGCGGCCACTCGGTCATCGCCAACCTCTGGGTTTGGTGCCTCTACATCCTCAGCTGACTATCCGTAAGCAGCAGTGCCAACCATGTCAACTGCGTCCTCGTGTACAAAATTACAGCGAAAAAAGTAAAACGGCACTGCGTAACAGTTGTATAGAAAAAGCTTTCCAACCAATTTACTAATCCATGCGGGCTTCTAAATTCCATATCATGCTTATAAGGAAGGCTATCCCCGTCAGACTTCGTCAGGATCACCCAACGCACAGCGGTCAGGAAAACGTTTCCCCACTCCGTAACGCACAAATGGCACCCGACGCGGCCTTGTAGTACGCGCACCATATGCAGATCGTCGGTGAACACGCTTTTGATAAATAGGGACGCGACAGTCGCTGCTTTAGAGCAAGATAATAATCACCGGGAGATTGACCGTGTGACCGGGAGATTGCTATCGGCTAACGATAGAGCAAACATGCACGAAGCGCGCGAAGGAACTCTGGAATCGAATACGTGTATAGCATCTTGTCGTTCCTGACCTGTGACTCGCGAAGTCAGATCCGGTTGAAGAATTAGCATCCAATGAAGCCATAACTCGTTTAAAGGCCTGACCACGCGTACCCGTTGCAGAGGGAGAGAGCGAGTGTTGCAGAGAGGGAGAGAGCAAGTTTGCCGGTCTGCCCCGTGCATGGACTTCATAGATTGATAGGCGAGAGAGCGCGTCAGTGAATTCCTTTGCCCCCTCTGAAGAGGCATGATGCGCACCCTTACGCCCGGATGTGTCTCTTGACCGCAAATATTGTTGAAAGCACGAAATTGCGAGCAGCATATTTTAATACAAAAAGTTTCACTGTCCTGTCTATAGGCTTCGCCCTGACTCTGTGGCCCTACAAAACTTATCGCGGCGTCCCAGACGCGACTGCAATGCTGAGGTTTCATTTAAGCGTTCACAATAAGGTCACTTTAGCGCTATACGCTCGTAAATACTTTGCGCATATCATGGAAATCAATTTAATCTTTCGACCATGTGACCCTGTACTCTGCTGCATGATTGACGGTTCGTATCGAATGACAGTTCGTATTGTGCGTTGAATCAGCGCACCACGTTGGCATAATAGAAATCGCCGACCGCAACCAAGTATAACATTGCCTATAGCTGCGCAACGGTACACAACAAACATCTTGTACTCTGCCGAAGATGGGGATTCCAGTTAGCAACATCCTACAGTAAGAACTCTTATTTGGGCTGGTTGGTACGTGTCCATATAGAAAGTCAGAAATATCGCGAACAGGGCAGACTGCGCCAAGTCAATTTCTGTCTTGTTGTGTTCCCGCAAAAGCTGAAAACACGAACAGATCGTATCATAGCTCATAAACACTGTGGGTACTGTTCGTTCGATTAGCCTGCTCGTTTTTGTGTAGCCGACACGTTTTTGTGTAGCCGAGGTCGCCGATTGTCCGTACGCTGCTGTGTTGTACATGATCGCATGTAGAAAAGGCAGGCCTCGTGACATGAACGAGGTGCCGAATCCGTTCATCACGAGCGTCTTTTTTGCGTTCGAGTTTTGCATTTACTTCTGGCGCGTGCAATGTCATTACAGAGCTTCATTACTCATTTTCACTATGTATATGTCCGTCCATTCCCAGGGAGATTCAAAGCAGGATACGAGAAGAAATCGGGGTGATAATCGCATCTGAGGGGCGACTGCCTTCTCTTATGGATCGGAGTCGCATGTGCTACACCGAGGCCACGCTCTACGAGGTGATGAGGGTCGTCAACTCGCCCATCATCCCGCATGTCTGCTGCAATGATACCACGGTCCAAGGTGAGTGCCGTTGTCACCGCCAGAATCATTGCGCATCTTACAAAAGCATAAAGAAATTATCAAAGTTCGTACGCTTGATCTCAAAGAATGAACGGGATAAACGCACGATCGAGACGCCATGTTGTTTCACTCTTTGATAGTACACGGACATGTTCACGCTTAGCACATACTGTATCGCGATGTGTCTACTTTAACCAGATATTTACCAAAACGTCTATGATGTGATTTCCGTCACCGACACGGATTTCCGCGACATTGATACAGTGCACTCGAACAGATGGCAAAAATAACCAGAGGAAGAAATTTCGTTGGTTTAGATAAGGCTTAAAAGAGACGAAGTCTCGACTTCGCAACAATAGAAACTAGCCGTTCACACCCGCTAACATACATCTTATGTATGTTCCTCCCTCGGGCTACTCCAGTGTACATAGGTACTCCCCGCTGTTGCGCTCCTGATTCTCAGAAACGCTGCGCCCACTCCTTCGTGTTGTAAATATTAAATCGAGCAATTTCAGTTCAACAAGCAAGCACACTACGTTTGTCGGTGGATCCTCTACCAGGCCATTCCAGTACCGTCCGCATTTTTTTCTACCCCACAGGTTTCCACGTGGACCGAGGCACCGTCGTGATGTTCAACACGAACGACATGAACTATTCTTCGGACCTTTGGGACACGCCGTGGGACTTCAACCCTGAAAGGTAACGTATACGAAAAGTACCAACCGATCCCAATCAACAAGGAATCCTTTTCCATAACTGTCACCTACTCAGTGTTGTTGCTCTCGCCGCAGTTATAGCCGTGTGCTATCCTAATTCATGCATGAACGTTCTCGTGTAAAATTACTCATGCGCTCGATGACGGAAGGGTATACTGGCTCTAACGAATTAGCCGTCTCACGGGCATGCCCACAGGGGTAGCAGCGGAGGCGCCCTGCAATCTGCTCATACTTCGCTTGTTCGGACCTGTCCCGGTTTCTGAAGATAACGGTGGTGGAACCTCTCATTGCACTAACAGTTCACTTTAATCCCCTCTTCGAGAAGCCTGACCTACGGCGTGTAGGCTGGTGTGATAAGCACGTACATCATCGCTAATTTTCAGTCCATTTCCAAACTTCTGTCCTGGGCTGGAACATTGACATCGTGGAGGGTGGGGAAGAGATGGGGTGACACATTGCTATGAAGCTTGGGAACGTTGCTGGGACGAAAAAGTTTAACGACAGCGCACCAGGGACTGGGTTTTCCTTCGCCAGCCCCTTGTTGCACTGCTCTTTCCGACCCATATTGCTCCACCCTTGTGCAGGGTAGCAAACCAGTTCTTCTAGGTTAACCTCCCTGTCTCTTCCTTTTATTTATTTCTCTCTCTTACATTTATTTATCACTTTTACAGCGACTAACCCTCCCACGGCGCTTTCTCATTACCATCTTGCTGCGCAGGTTTCTCAGCGATGACGGCCAGTACGTCCTCAAGCCGGGCCACTTCTTCCCTTTCGGCACCGGCAAGCGCTCCTGCATGGGCGACGGCCTCGTTCGCGCCACGCTGATACTCGGCCTGGCGACGCTGTTCACACGCTTCGAGCTCTCACTGGCCCCCGGCCAGGTGCCCGCGAGTTTCGTGGAGTCCCGCAGCAAAGTCATTTTTGACCTCGATCCTAAGATCGTCTTCACGGAGGTCGCACCACGCACGCAATGTCAGTAGTTCGCGTTTTAGCGCTGCTCGCATGAGCACGTGCACGGGCTTACCCCGCAACTGTCTTTTCTCTATTCATCTCATCGCCATTCGCGCGTCCTTGGCGCTTCATACACCCCAGTTTCGTTCAGGCTTATGTACAGCGGAGCTCGCGGTTCTTTCGTTTTCACGGAATTTGCCGGGAGTCTACTGCGTAGTACACGGCTTGAGGAGGCTGGTAACGTCAGAATGCCAGTGTTTGGGACACCGGTCATGCGTGTCTCTGAAATCTAGGTATGGGGCTCGGATCTCGAATGTATTGCTGCACGCAGTTTTTCCAGAAACTCCTGGGAAACGTGCACATCGGCCTCCCCGCTGGGAAGTGCAGAATATTCCGCAGCGTGCGCGACGAGAACCGCGTCGTGTCGAACAGTTCCATGACCTCGCGTTCCTGCGCGGACCAAGCAGCAGCTGGCACTAACCCCACCAGTATTCACGCATCTTCACAGGATCAATCGCTCGGGACAGCGGCTCGGGCAAGTGGGATGCTCGGGGCTTGGGCCAAGCACGCAAAGGCGCATTTCGTTATCGCTTGAGCTTATACGGCCGCGCGGCGGCGCGGTCGCGCGCAACCGAAACCCGGCCTCAACTCAGCTTCGTGCTCCCGTGCCACTCGTGGGCGTCGCTGCCCCAGCGAACTCCTTGTTTCACTAACTCTCGTTCATATACTGTTCATACCTTATTCAGCTGGTCGTCGCATCCTTCTGCGACAACTGGGTCAGGCGGTCGAAAGGTTTAGCGCCTCGCTCACCGTTGTCTGCTGGTCCAGTCGTGCAACTCTCGTGGAACTGCTGTCATCAGCGTCGACTGAATTCTTCCAGCACCCGCAGATGTAGAAATTTGAGCTGCCAAGTCAGACATGTCAAATAGTGTTCGTCTCAATAGAGGCCAATTGCCTATCATTCTTGCACTTCGAGCCACTTGGAACAGTGTCCTCTATAGACCTGTGCCCCAGGACTTGAGCGATTCAACTGCGATCCAAAGTGATGGTGTATCGTACGCGTCTCAGCTCGGTGGGGCTTTGTACTCTCCACGTCAGCGTCCCCGATGTTCAGTCACGTCCATTAGAGTTTACGCAGTAACCCTGACGCTCATATGCCATGCGCGCCCTCACAACACATCCTGACCCGACGACTGGAGCGTGGGCGTCCAGCCGCCGCAGCCAGAGGTGCCCGCGTGTGGTGCGGTGAGCGCGTAGCTGCTGCTGGGGTTGGGGACGTGCGCGCGTCTACACACGCGTGAGCCAAACCGCGGCCGAAAACTTCGAGCGTACGTTCGCCACTGCGACTCAACGGTCCGAGCTCTGGGCTTCCCTCTTGACCTGAACCTTTGGATGCGTGCGCATGGACTCGCGCCCTCTGCCTCCAGGATCTGTCTCAACTTGCCATACCGAAATCGCTTCTAATATTGTGCTAATTTTATCGCTACTTATGCAGTTGAATTACTGCTCTTTATACAGCAAATTGAATGTTTTTTTTATGTGCTACCTTTGTATTGGACTTTGTAGAGCACAACTTCAAATAACGTTGTAATAAAGCTTTGCTTTCAGAAATTTTTCCTGTCCATGTCGGTTGCATTTGAGAGATTAGCCTCCAACACTTTTCTCATTTACCGACAGTACTCTGCCTTGTGCAATTGTTGTGAACCTGCACAACTTCTTTTAGGTTGAGTCATACACTTAGCCTACCAGTCTATTTTATTAAATTCAACTTTGTTTACTGCATTTTCAATGAATCTCCAAGTGGGGGTAAGCAGAAACCTGTAATGTAGCCTTCAATATTATATAAGCTTGTCTGAAACTTAATCTTGATAACTTTTCTCTTTGGGTGTAATTTTGTTTTGTTAGTCCATATATTTCTGCCACAGCGATCTTCCAATTCCTTGCAACAATAGTGGCAATTACGCAGCAAGGAGAGGAGGAAGGAGGGGCTCTGCATTCAACTCCTTTCTGAAGTTTTCAATGTTGCTGTTATGCTCCAGGTTTTCAATGTGTCCGAGATAATGATGATAGACTGTGTATGGCTCACACCCACACTGGCAGATAGGCCAAGAAACACATTCACGGGGAAAAATTGCCGTGTAAGAATTGTATGACTGATGAATCATATAGTAGTTAGAATAAATTAATTATGGCAATTAGACACTTGAGATCTAAACTGCCTTGACTCTGAATATCATGAACTGGCATGTGGTCATCTTCCTCCTCTGCTTCACTCCCAGAACAAGTGCAAATACTTATCTGTCGTGGGATGCAGTAACTCTGATGGGTGAGAGGTAGAGTACAGAGAGAAATTTGGCAAGTCCCACACCTTGTGGTAATCAGTTTCATGCAAAGCATGCTAAATTTTTTTTGTTCGGAGGGAAAGTGTTGCAAGGCGGATTGACGTTAATGCAGTAGTTGCTTGCACAATATGAGCTTACAATGCATAACTTGTGGTCCAACATGTTGGCACAAACGTTAGAGCAGGCTTCGGTGCTACTGTAACGAAGTGCATTTGGTGCTGTGGTGTGCAAATTGCATGTAACTTTTGTTAGTGTTGCCCCAGGGTTGAGCGACGCTTGAGTATAGCTAGCTAAACACAGGAACACAAATGTGATGTTTACTTGGACTGCTGGACTCTACATAAGAACCACCATTGATGTTAACCTAGCATGATGTCAGTGTCGCATCTTTACATATCATATGTAATGTTTATTGCGTTATGAAATCGGGTAGCCAGCACTGCAACCACAACTGATGTTTCACAGACCTTACACCTGCATGTTGCACCTGTATTTTTTCAAAGCAATTTCAAGACCTGGCATGGCTCTGTGGCAGAATACCAGATTGCTACACAGAATGCATGGGTTCATTTCAGCTGAGATACTTAAAAGGCCCCTAAGCCCCCTCCGATATTTTCCCAAACATTTCAAGTAAACAAGCGCATCGCGTGCAGAATGCCGTCGCGATCAATGATGCTACACGCCGCAGCGCTACAGGTAGGGGGTGCGCCACAACTTCGAAGAAAACAATAGCTTCTCCTTTCCAGTCCCTGCCATTCCCGACACTGACATGTGTGACATCACCAGTGAAACTTGATGAGGTTACCACTTTTGATGCTTGCGCGTGACCGAACGACAACTTCTGGTCACTCTGCAAACAACTGTTCTCGGTCATGTTGCCGCTTGAGAATCGACATCTGCGGACTGTAACGCAACACAGGGACCATACCGGCATGATTCGTAGGGGCACGGGCCCGGCCGGCACGACAGCAACAGCGGTTAGTCAACGATCTGTGTACCAAAATGACACGCGCAACACAGTTGAGGGCACAGTTGAGGGCGAGCTGGGTCGTTGGAGCTGCGGAACCTGGCAACCGGAAGTAGATGCTGTCTCGAACAGTGCGTCAGCAGTAACGTATGCAACGTGAGATGAGGAGGGGCACACGGCTGACTCAGTGAGGAGGGGCCAAGCAGTTTTGGAAGAGGGTAGCGTAGAAAAGAGGAAAAAAAGCGATCGTCACGTTTCGATCATCAAACGCGTGTAACTCCGCTATTATGGCACCGTTCCGAAATATTTTCACGGCTATGTGTTCATTGTAAACTCGAGCACAACTTCCTCACCTCAACTAAATTTAGACCGCTGGGTGGTTTAGGGGCCCTTTAAGAAATGCTTAGGATTTAAGATTTCTGGCGAGAAAATCGCTCGTAGCCATGATGCGAAGGCGAAGGTCGTAACCACTCGTGCATTCAGGCACACTAGCATAGCATAGGTTAGCCTTGTTTAATAGTGTAGCAACATGGTGAAAAAGGGAAGTGAGGGTTAGAAGGGGAGAAAGTAGAGAAAATGAAATAGAGTAAAGAAGATAAAAAATAAATACAAATAAAGACAGAAAACGAAAGAAACCATTATCAAGTATAGTAAGGCATGGAAAAGAGGAGAGAATACCGTAATCGCTTGCTTAGCCAAGCTAAGACCGGCTATGTGCCCATCAACTCTGCTGTGACCCAGCCTTGCACAACTTCATGCAAGGTGCACTAATTTTCTTTTGTTCCGATTTCGCAGGAGTGCACGAAAATTGCTAGAGCGCACGAAAATCATAGGCATGCAGAAAGTTTTCCTTCGAGGGGGGGGGGGGGGGGAAGGTTTGTTCTGGCATCCCCATCCCTATTAGGTCAATGTATGGAGCTGGCTTTGTGCCCCCCCCCCCAGATCAAGCGCATGCCTGTGCGAACACACAGTGTATGGCTGAACATCTGTCTCCAATTGTTGGCCACATTACTGATCAGCGAGATACGATATATTTTAATGCAGCTTGGACATGCACGTCATGAGGGCTGTTGGCTCAATGGAGAAAAAATTATTGCAAGCCACAATTAAAGTTAAGGGATATTGTATTCATGCATTTGATAGTGTATCACTGGCGTTACTGCACTGTCACGAGTAGTAGCGACCCCGTAGTACCCAACAAAATTTGAACAATTCCAAATTTATATACATTAGTAGATAATTTGAACTGAATGGCTGTCCAAGCAAAGTGGCATATAAACCAATAGTTGCACAATGGTCACAAGGAACAAGGTCTCCATCGAAATAACTCGCCTTCCAACACTATGCAACACACTCGAAGAAACCAGCCATTTTCGCTTCAGCTTATGCCGCTGCAGTAAGTAGTTTGCAATATGGCATATGCTCAAGCCCGAACATGTGATCATAGATAGAGGGCATTAATGGTGAATTAGCTCTCGTTGGGCTCGGCCATTATAAATTCATACCATTGCAGACTATGAGCTGTTTTGCTGCCCCTCCTTTTCTCGGGTGACATGTGCTTGTACTAAGATGCAACCCCACGTGGTCACAAATTCTCGAGCCTTTCACTACGCGATCTTTCGATAGCATCGTAGTTTTGATATGCAAAATCCCAGCAATTATAATCAGTTCCTCCCTCTCCTTGTAGCTGCATACCTTGGCTATTTCTAGGAGGAAGTGTCCATTATAACTGCAGCACAGCAGGGAATCCATAAATGCAGTCATTTGCTCCCCTCCGACCCCATTACGCTACAAAGCAGAAGAGACTGCAGCTTTCCTGCACGCCAACCCTTGCCCAATACTGCCAGGGTGCATCACTGCAAAAATTGTGCAGTTATATTGAAAAGAGGGATTCATTAGTTCAAATTCTAATTATTTGAACAAATTCATTTGAAGTCTGAATTAATATGGTTCCAATTAGCTCCTTAGAAATGAAAAAGCAAAAAAACATGCCTAAGTTGATCACCCAAGATGTAATGTGCCTCCTTTATAGACAGGCAATTGACCTGACAACAGAGAACTATTGTACATGAGAACACTCTGACACTCGCTTCAAACGAAGAATGGTTGAAAGTTATTGCTTTTTGGTACCTTTGTCTCTGTCTATATTGCACTACTCTACTAAGTCTTATATTTCACTGAAGGCAGGAGCAGGAACCTTGAAGGGACATTGCCACCTTCATTTAATTCTTAGATATGTCTGGCTTAGCAGGCCTTTATAGCAGACCTTTTTCACAAGTGGTGAGAAACATAGGCAATATAGCAGTGTAAGAAACTACTGAAATTGCTATGACGGGTATAGCACACCTGAAATACAAGCACTCTGCTGCCAGAATTTCAGTCACCGGATAATTTTGCGACATACCAACTCGAAACAAACCAGACTGCGGCAAAGTGTTGACACATGTATTGAACCAAATGTACAGAGTCCGTCTTAGCCAAGTGATGAAGGAGCAGCAGTCGAGACAGTGGTCCCAAGAGGGCAGCTGAGGTGTGACATTGCAGGCGTGTGTGCTGCGGCCAGCTTGTTCAAGATCTTGTGTACTTTCCCCAGATGTGAAGCATGAACACAGAGGCAATGAACAGCAGGCTCATCACCAGCACTGGCACAGGTCCCCTGCAAAAAAAAGGCACTAGACTTGAGCATGGACTTGCGCATAACAATCACTCCTTGTCATGAAATGTAGTTTGTGAATGACTAACATTATATTTGGCACTGCACCTGATATTGCGTATACTGTTTTAAAAAAGGTACGAATGGGCCCATCTTAGTTTTATACACGAAGCTATCTTTCCATTCGAGGTCTTTTTTTTTTGAATTACTGCCTTTAGGAGATGGGTCCACAATTTGCATGAATAACCCTCAAAAAGCTTGCACACACTGCACCTAAATAGATCGACATCACTCCCATATTTACAGGCCAAAACAACACCAGATATAAACAGACACACTGGGCAGTGTTGGGAGGTCAACACTTTCGACAAATGTATCAAAACAAATCCCTACAATAATGCCTAGTTGTTGAAGCAAATATGTTCAGCGAATGTTCAGGACCTTGCATGAAGTATGCAGAGTGGTGTCATTTGAGTTGCCAGGCTTCGATGAATAATTGCAAGTTCTTATACACTGTTGATGTAAAAGAAAAAAAATGATTTATAGCTGAAGCATTTAGCTTCTTAGCTAAAGGCCCATGGAGAATGCACTTACACTTTGATTCCTGGAGAGTCGTCTGTGTAGAACTTCCACATTCCACCACCAGCTGCCCCTGGAGTACGTGTCCTGCCACTGCTCGCTGAGGTAGTTTTCCTGGAGGAAATATGCAATTGATCAATGAAATATCGAAGTTGCAGTCCTTGCATATTTCCATACAAACTAGGTTGTTGGTGAAATGGACATGTGCTAGGTATATTGGAACACATGGAAAATGAAAAGCAGCATGTCCATAGTTGCCAGAGGCGGGATATACTAATAAATCAAAAAAGGTACACCAGATACACAAGACAGATCTGCTGTAAACTACGGTTTGAAAGGGAACTCACAGCGCTTGTTTGTTTTCAGAAAATGCAAAAATTAGACTTAAAACGTGATTATGGTCAGAAATTGAGCTGATAAAATGACATCGACACGGCAATTTCTCTTGTAGTTAGGGCGGCTTTGCGATCCAACAGAGCTAATTATACAGTTTTGTCCATGAAACTATTGAAATGTGAGTGCGATATCGCAAACACTTTTTCACTAGCTGTGCTGCCAAGACACACTGCCTTAACATTGCGGCCACGCTGCATTGGCCACTCTAGCTCTTGAATCGGGCACTCGCAGCATCCAAAGACACAGACTTTGGGATCGGTGACGTTTACTCTAAGTAATTGTAGCCAAGAGGAGAGCTTGTTCATGACCTAGCCTAACATCCAGATCCTTGAACACGAATCAAACAGGAATGCACAGCTAGCCTTCCAGTGTAACAATTTTAAACTGGCAATTGAATACCAGCAAAGGAACACTGCTTTATGAGGCAGTATGTCATTGAGTAAGAACCAGTATGTCCTGTTAGAATATTAGGTCATGTCCCACATTTTTACTTCTTGATTATTAAGAAACGGTTGTCAATAATAGTGATGTTCTCAATCATTTATCAGCGTAGCCTAAATTAATATATGCCTTTAATTTTCTTTTGACCTGTTATGCAACCGCATAATGTAACGTACCGAGATGGCATATTCTATGTCCTCTCAATACTACAAAGGTTAATATACACCGATTGCAGCACTGACAGTTGTTTGTTAATTGCTCTCAGACTGCCCCATGCCTTGGCTGTTTGTTTTCTATAGACGACGAGCTGTGGTTTGTTAAAGTACAATACTTGCAACTTGCATATGTGGTGCACGTAGAAGCCTATAATAGTTCCTCTGAGTGACGTTGTCATGCCGGGCAACTTGCGGCCTTTCGCGCTCGTCAGGAGAAGGTAGCTCAGTGTTTGTGCGAAGAATAGCAGTACCACTAACCTCTGCTTGACGGTAGAACCTCCCGAGGACCGTGGCGCTGCCATAGTCTTCGGTGACCTGCCTCCTGCCCCAACATTCGTTGCACTTGGCGCTGCTGGCTGCAAGAAAAGACGATGATTACATAAAAGGTAAATCGAAGGCGGCAGCAAGGACACATATCACATACATCCTTACGGATACTTAGCAAAGCCCCAACACTCGCACTGCGTGAAAAGATGAAGATTTACCGTGAAAAAATTTACCTTCGATTTTCTTCTAGATTTCCTCATTCTAATCAGGTAACACATTTAACGGAAGCATTGTAGCATAGATACATTACGAGAGCGTTCGTGCTTGACCTATCAACAGCGGCCCCGTAAATGAAACCAAAGAAAATCGGTGCTAAGATGTTTGACGATGGAAAAACAGTCAAATTCAAGCGATGCACCGAGTTCGCGTTCGATACCACGGTGTCTATTTAGAGATCAACTTGGTTGATACGCTTTCGTCATGACAACTCCAAGCTCTGTACTCGCGAGTTCATGCATACGTCGAAATAATGACAAAAACAAAGTTTCTATGAGGTCTCCAGTACTACAAATGATCCCTGTGGTTCCCTTCTACATTATCTTCAAAGTGGTACTACAGGGATTACGAGAAAACGGTAATAAAGATCGGAAGAGTAGCGGAGCAACTTACCATGGTTACAGCTGCAATGAAAGCTCTGCGAATGAAGAGGGGACAGCCAACGTCACTTCAGAAGCGAACACGTCGTTGCTCCACGGACCACTTAGGCCAGCTCTTGGCTGGCAACAATAATGTATGTAGTTTAAAGTGTGGCGCTATAAGCTAAATATTTAAACTTTTAAAACAGTTTGTTGCTTGGTTAGTAATACTCAAATAACTGCTTAAATAACAAGCAAAAATAAAACCAAAAAAATATTTTATAGAGAGTAATTACGATGAAATGATAAGGTTTGCAAGTGCATTGTTGTGTAATGAAATCAATGTCACAGTATCGCGTTATGCGTCGATTGAAAAACACTGTATTGAATATCATTACTATAAACACATTTTACACGCGTTTTGTGGCATGTAATTAGCTTCACTAAAGAGGTGTGTTGGCTGTGTTTCGTACGCGGAGGTTTGCCAGCAGCACCAATCAGCGTTTGCCTCTGCACAGAAGCGCTCTTTCAGCGTGCGCGCTACCCTTGTGCGCACATCCATGTGCTTCGCGCTCGCCGGTAATGAAAGTTTTCACCGCAGAAAAGATTGTTGATTAGGACGCGTAGCTTTTCCCCATCTACCGTCGCTCGACGGCCCGGGTGACAACGATGGACTTGACTACCATTCTTGAGAAGACAGTCTCGCCAGGTAAACGTTTTCGAAGGCATGGCGACAGGCCAGCCATTCATGGTTTTACGAATCCTCCTCCAGCTAAGCCTTACCGTCGAGCTGTCTGATAGCGTTTGAATCGCCGTGCCCGTTAACGAGTAATTTTAAAGCTTGTTAATCAACGCTGAACACGCTTTAATTCGCCGGCTTCGTGCACCAAAACCAGAGTACAACCGCAATTGCGAGCGTTGGGGAAAAAAAAACGAGCGAACGAAGTCGCACATTCGTGTGTCGAAGCCAGTCTACCGATAATCGGCACATAAAGGGCGCACCTCGTGTGCGCGCGTTAAGTCTAGCGCTCGTTTAGTTCATTCTGCAGCCTGCGTGTGCTTAGACGGTAGAACGCCGCAATTTCTCGAGGCGTGGTTCGAGAAGGCACTGCAGGGGACAGAAAAAAATGTAACCGCGCGCGCGCTGGTGCCACCCGAACATTCCTCAGTCATCGAACCCACTGCGTCACCGCTGTTCTGCGCGATGTTTAAAATGCAGCCGGCTACTTGCGATTCGCTTGTGCCAAACACTACTAGACCCGACAGGTCGCTGAACTGACTCGAGGGGGGTGAAACCATAAGTGCGGCGAATGAAACTTGCTTTCATATCCGCTCCCGGTCGCCGCCGATCGGACGGAGTTCTCGGTTGCTTTTGGCGCGCGAGACACCGAACAGTCCCGTCGCTGAGAAGGGTCCCGTCTCATTCGATTCCCTTTGGCCTGCCTTTGCAGACAAAAATGAATTGGAGGCAGCGCAGAGGTACTTGGAACAAGCCGCCCAGACCAATCTGGTGAGTTGGGACGTGACTCATTCGGCCAGTCTTTTCGCGGCTATTTCGCCGCTTTGTCTGTCATGCATGGCGCTGTTACGGAGATGTCGCCCCGCGCACGGCGCTGGCATTTGGAGAATTGGTGTCGTGCAGTGTGTGAATACAAAGTTTCAGCCTGAAATGTTGGAGTAGCTCCCGCGATTGCGTCGTTGGAACGCCACCAGCCTGCAAATCAGCTGATCGTGGACAATAGATAGTTCTCTAGCTTGTCTTACACTCCGGTGTCATTGTAGCCGAGTGTACGGGAAAGAACGGACGAGGAATTCGCGGAGGGCTCCAAAGATAGCAGTACCATTACGTAACAGCTTTAATTTGTGCATGCGTCGCTCGAAATAAAAAAAAAGCAAGGGGAGGGTCATGTCAGTCGAGTCTAGTTTCGCGTGCCTCTACATGGCGTAGTCGCGATTACCGTAGGATTGGAATGTTTCTTCAAGTTGTCACTGGTTGGTAATTCAAAATGGATCCGTCAATTTTCTTTATTGCTAACTACACCAATCAGTCATCACCCTTTTGTTTTATGCAGGATTGGCAGATTAATTCGATAGATTTGTTCAATGCTGAATGGAAATGTAATCCCTGTCATATGATCACACCTTTCGCAATACTGGGATGCTGAGAGCCCAGCACAACATTATCTGTTGTAGAACTCGTAGCTGGTGATGTAATGTTACTTTACAGAAACAGTTTGGCAGCCTAAACTAACTTAGTTTTCCACTTCAGAATTTAATTATATTCGAATATTAGCATTTGTTCTTATTGTTTAGGTGTTGAAATTAGTACTTCATTCTAGTGCAATGCCTTATTTATGAAGTATTTTCTCAGAGCACTGTAAAACTTTTTCACCGTAATGAAACTTGATGTTTGACATATGAAACCATGATTGCCCCTCGCGTTTCTTTTTAAGACCCTTTCCTTCTATTTACGACATTGTAAATGAAATTCCTAATAATGTTGTGGTTGGCACAAAGTGCATAACTCATTCTGAAAGTCGGACAAAATCAAAATTTCACCCGGGGACGTATACATTTCACTGTATTGGGAAAACTATTTGTGAACTCCAAGCAAAGTAAAATACGTGAAAATGCGTAAGAACCTGACGTTTTCGAACCGACTGGGTTCCTCCCTCAGGGGGCACTGTGTTGGTTGGAGTTAAAATAGTTTTCTCATTTTACCTACCCAAGCAGACAGACATCTGTCGAATGTTTACATTCATTTCACTGTATGTTTTATATCCTCATTAAATATGTAGGTACTAAAGATTATTGCTGTATAAACTGCATCCCAATGTACAAAATTTGAAAAGCATGATGATAATTTGGTTTTCTGCCAACTGATTTGTAACAAAACTGCGAGATCTCCATTGGTTTTCATCTATTGGTATCATTTTCTTTCTTCATTGTCTGGAACATGATAAATGTGACAATTAGAGGTTGGCATGTAGCAGAATAGACCGGGGAACAAACAGGGTTAGCTGATAGTCTAGTTGATGTTTTCGCAGTGCTTACACAATGTTGACGCACCCAAAAAAGTGAAATTTTTTGTTTCCATAACATGTGCGATCAACGCTCTGCACAAAGCAAAGCTTGACAATGTATGTAAAATAGTTTACCTTAATTTTAAAGTTTTCATTGTCGATAATGTTCAAGCCAGCCTCAGCGGAGGGGACATTATGACAAGACAACATAGCTCACTGTGTTTGCGAAGTCTATGTTTTATATGCAGTGTAAATCGCAGAAATGGTAAAAGCTACTGAACGAAAATTCACTCGCATTGTTTAAGCCAATCACGTGCGAATGACAGAGCTGATGCTAGTAACTCGAGCTGGAGTCTTCTTGTGATGTCAGGCTTGTGTTGAAACATCATTTTAACCCATATATGCCCTTTTCAGTGTAAACTTTTCAGTGTAACTCGAATGTTTTTTCTGTCAAAAAGGTAGCTCCACCTAAGGTCTGTTTATGATGCCTTGTCCTCATGCAAGTCTAGGTGATTGCCGGGCTACAAACAGCCCCGTGCTTGCAGTGGCAAAATGACTATTTTGTATGCATGTAGCAGAGCGCCATACTGTGAAAAAACAATATAAGTAATATGGAGTCAAATTGCCCTCGATGCTGCTGATGTTTTTGTTGATTGTTCATCAGTTATTGGGTGTACAGTAACTTTCCTATGACAGTGATAGGAGCTAATGTTCTTAATTCACAATGTGTTGAACATTGGTGTGCTATATATAGGACGGCTCCAAATCCATTGTTTGAAAGATTTTTTTTTAATCAAAGCCTTGTTCTGTTTTTTGAGGGTGTAAAAGCAATAACTTTGGGGAAATTATTTCTGTAAATTTTCTTAAGTTTGGGCATATATGGGTTAAAGGCAGCTCTTGATTACAAAACTAAAAGTGCCTTTCTAAAGGTAGTGATATTAAAGATATATTCAATGTATTCTCAAGCACTAGGACATTCGTTTCTTTAGAGCAACAAACTGAAGATGTTTAAATTTTGTGTAAGTGTTCCTTTAAAAGGGCCCTGCAACATTTTTTCACGTCGCCATGGATTTACTAAAGGAGCTTATTGCTTCTCTAATTCACTGCCACAAAAAGTTTTAGAATTAATTCATTACTAGTAAAGCTACAAAGATTGGTTTCACGTTGAAATTGCATTCTCTCTTTTCTTGTCCTGACAAAAATGCTGGAAACTAAGCAGAGAGGGATGGCACGGGGAAAGAAAATATGTTTACATATTTTTGGTGACCTTTAGCACTTTTTCTCTAATTTTTTTTCTGTCTTTTGAATACAAAGCTTTTCAGTGCATTCGCACGCGTGGCCAAGTCGCGGCCTTCCACGGCTGCTTCAGTAACGATTGAATGCGCTATGCCCAAATCAGTCAATGGCTGTGACGACTGATTTTTGAGCTTGTAGATTCATTCGTGTAGGGAAAAGAAGGCAATTTTCAGCTGACTTCGAAAATTTTTCATGAATTCCAGGCTGCGTGCTGCAGTATGATATTTGGCTCGCGTGTTCACGAGAGCCTTGGCTGTTGATCGGGAGTGTTTTCTGACCATGCTCAAAAAGTGTTGCAGGGCCCCATCAAGGAAGCGAAAATTTAGTTTGGACACGTACTGCGTAGGACAGACTCCCTATGGTCAGTTAGAGCGAAGGAATAGCTACCAAGGGATGCAAAATGCAATTGGGGGTGCCAAAATGTTACATGGAGGGACAAAATTAAGTTGTCATGGATTAAGAAAGGCTGAATTGGGTATGACTAGGATGGTATTTAGTCCTGCACTGGACAAAAAGATGGTGATAATAGTGGGGATGATTTCATTTCAACATTTGGTATCACCGATGGCTCGCAGTGTGTTATCAAGGGGCATGGGGGTCGGAAGAAATATGCCTAGAAAAAGTTTTTACGTGAAGAAATAGGTGTTTTTTACAAAAAGATCATGCTACGGTTACTACGTTTAAGTTTCACAACACACCGCACGTTGTGTTACCATAGTAGGGACCTGTCTTGCCTTCTTGAAATAGCTGTAAAGGCAGTGCTTCTTAGGCACACTGGCCTTCAAATGCCAATCTTTTGGCGCAAGAGTTTGTACATTTATAAACTTGCTGAAAGTGCAGGGTGCGCGTCAGTAGTGCGGCATTTATTCTTTATCGTTGTTCGCCATTGTGATACTCGGGACAGCAGAGCAGGGCTGGCCAAAAGAAATATTCCGTTTCCCTTAAGACATGAGTGTCATTCGAAAAAGCCTTCATACAATGCCACCGAAAGGCTGGTTTGGGTTTCTTGAATATATGTAGGAATAATCTCGTGCTCTTTCTTTTTTGTTAGGTTATTTGTCTTTTTCTTTAATGCTTTTTTGAGTGAAAAATATTGCACATCTCTAACAAAACAGGCACCCATCATTCCCATTAACAAAATATCTTTGAAAAGCTAACCACCAGCAGTGGAGCACAGATAATACGAAAATGAGCACTTTTAGCTTGGGTGTCTTTAGCAAAAGCACAATTTATACCACTGCACGGCATAGCAGTGAGCATGTATCAACACCATTAGATAACATGACCCGTCATTTACGGTATTTCAACTTCTTTGAACACATCTTCCCAGTTTTAGCTGGTGTTCACAAGCACAAGCGAAGGTTTTTTGGCATAGGTTTGTTTGCCTGTCTTGTGGCACATGTCTTACTCCAAACTTTCAAGTGCTCACTGCAAGGCAATCATTTGTATGTTTTGTAGATTAGATTAATAACTGCTGAGTGTTCATGTTGCCCTTGCTTAATGTTATCTGCTTCAGTTGTCTCAAAGTACAAGCTACTGTAGATCTATTGCTGACTACTCAAGTGCTCTTTAGTGTTGACAATGCATCTAGTACGCAAAAATAATTGGTTGAAAGCTGCTGGAGCTATTGAATGCTTTTGTCAGGAAAAATATAGCTTTGGAAATTTATAGCTTCATTTTTATATTTAGTGACACAGACATCATAACTTCTAATGTATTTGACAAGGAGCACAGCTTGTATAAGCTCACCTTTTGCCTTTCTTTGGCTGCTGTCTTCTTACATGAGCTAAAGTAAATGGGCTTTTTCCGGGAAAGCAGTCTGCGTATGCGCGCCGTAATTTTTGGTGGCTGAAACACGGATGACAGGTGCAGACCAAATAACATCTGGTGTCACAAACCTGAAAATGTGTGGCCCAGTAAAAGGCGCAAATGGAGGCCTCTGAGATTCCCTACTGGCCCGTGGTGGACAATTTCGGAGACCAAGGACCAGCAGTTTCAATTTCGGTGACCTCCACTGGACGTGCTGTCCGGATCAGGAAAAGGCCCATTAAAAAAGTGGTGCTGTGCCCCTGTTTCTGTGGCACACTTGTGCCAGCAGTTTCTGCGACTGTCTTCGTAGTGCAGATTGCAAGGTGTTTGTGCCACGCTGTCGTTTGCAGGCGGAGTTCCTTCGCTCCCTTTCGGAGGTTCTTCAAGGGGCGAACAACAGCCCTGTGGCCCGAATGGCTGCAGGTCTTCAGATCAAGAACAGTCTCACATCCAAGGACAATGAATTGAGGACGCAGTACCAGCAGCGTTGGCTATCCTTTCCCCAGGAGGCCCGCATGTACATCAAGAATAATGTGAGTGTTGCCTGATATGAACCTCATGTGCATTGAAATCTGATCTTCACTCATTTGGCCTGATTTTGTATTTATGAGCATCTCTTCCTATTATGTGGGCATGCATCTGTTTGAGATTCGCTTTCCCATTAAAAAAAAAAAAAAAAGGCACCCGTCAGATGTTGACAAATGTTACTCTACCATCTAGCGGAAGACTTAATCAGAGCACTCCTTACATCCATTGCTATGTCTTCCTTGAAATTCCAGTGAGTGTTATTCCTTGTCTGTGTTGTTAAGGAAATATCCTGCTCTTCAAATGGTAAATTCTGGAATCAAATGGAAATCAAGTCATTTAAACTACAGTAAATTCTCGGCGATACGAATTTTGCGGGCTGCTGAAAACATTCGTATAATTCGTAATTCATTACACCAGAAAACATGGAAAATTAGTGTGCAACAAAAGAAAGCCGGCATGCACTTTCATTTCATTCTCAGGGCCGCAGTATCATCGTGGACAGCTCTGAATAATTGTCAAGTTAAGTTTTTAGAGGTCAGCAATCATAATTGTACTCGTAAATATACAATGCGTGCACATATGTAGTTAATGAACCATATGTGCTGTGACTTCATATGTGATTTCATATGACATCAAAGCAATGCAGCAAAAGTGACCTAAGGAGCGTTTTGCATGTGATAGATGAAGTCCAAAAAATTTAGTTCAGTGATTCTACCTCAGCACACGTCAGCACACGTCAAGACATTGGAGAAGACAAAAAAAAAAAAAAGACAAAACCAACAAAGTCATTGCCATCTGTAATCTACAGGCAACGGCTCATGAAGGCGTATTGAGGCCTCGAAGATTCGGACGCAGTATCTTGGAGGCTACAACATGTTTTTGTGCGTGATTGCCATGTTTTCCACTACGGTGCAAGAGCCTGTGCTGTAGCGTACGTTCCTATCATATGTCATGAGGTGAAAATTCATTACTTGCAGGCTAAAGGGTTCAGCCGGGACCACAGAAAATTTCATATGAGGTGTGACCATGTCGCTGAAGTTTTACTGTATATGATTGATACTTGGTTTTTACGAATATTCCCGCTAATTTATTTTTACTGTTTGTGTGTTACATTTACAGAGTTTTCTTTTAGAGCAAAAGAAGCTGATCAACTGTGTGCTGTTCTTTCAGATTCTGAGTGCTCTCGGCACAGAGACAATTCGCCCAAGCTCGGCAGCACAGTGTGTGGCTTATGTTGCTGTGGCTGAACTACCTCAGATGCAATGGCCAGATCTTATACAAGTGCTGACAAACAATGCAACTAACCCAGCTTCAACAGAAATGCTTCGAGAGGCCACATTGGAAGCAATTGGTTATATCTGCCAGGACATTGAACCAGAGGTAAGCATTCAATTGTTTAATTTTTGTATTTAGATGGTGTAGCATTGCGTTTTTGTTTTATTTTTGCTAGTTTGATAACCATTCAAAAGAAATGCTGATTAGCAAGCATATTCTTTTTTTAAGGATGGTGTTGTTTCTTTTTCAACGAAGTGGTGGCATCTCTGTCTCAGTCATAAGTGAAGCTGTTGGGGAGACAACACAATGAATAATTATACTTGGAGACTGCCATGTGTTCACGTTTCATCTTTCTTGTTTCCAAAGGTGTTGTTGGGCCAAAGCAATGACATCTTGACAGCGATTGTTCATGGAATGCGCAAGGACGAGCCATCGGAGCATGTCAAGCTTGCAGCAACCACTGCTTTGCTCAATTCTTTGGAGTTCACGAGAGCCAACTTTGAGAAGGACTCCGAAAGGCATTTCATTATGCAGGTGGGGTGCTTGCTGCTCATCGAAAAGCAATAAGCCAACTGATGCCGGGGAGTCGGAAAGCTCTGATTTGTTGGACAATGAAATTCACTTGTCTTTCACCACGTTGCTCGATGCAGGTAGTGTGTGAAGCAACTCAGTCAAGCAACACACAGGTGCGAGTCGCTGCTCTACAGTGCCTTGTGAAGATTATGTCATTGTACTACCAGTACATGGAGCACTACATGGGGCCTGCCCTTTTTGCTGTGAGTAAAGCCACTGAATTTGCAAGGTTGCATGCTGTGCACAGGCATTGCGTGCCTACTGTGCTTCATCCAGGGATTACTAATTTGATCTTCATTGTTGTTAACCGAGATGGAATGTGTGACAAAATCGAGAATACAGTCAAGCCTTGTTATTTTGTCCTACAAATTATTAATTTTGTGAAGCAGTAACGTACAACTAAAAATACAGGCAGCAACACACGCAGGGGCATAATACAGTTGAATGTTGAGCATTTGACTGGTAGGTTATAGCACTGTAATCGAAGTGCGTGCGCACAAGGCTTCTATGCAGATTCATCAGGCTTTTCCTGTCACTACCCCACATAGTGCGTGACAAGACTTTCAAAATATTCATTGTTTTTAAGCACCTGTTCTTTATATACTTGATGTGGGGTATGAAGGTTAGTTTTGTGTCTAATATTTTGTGTCTACCAGTCTGCGACACCATTAGCTGTAAAGATGCTTGACCCTGTCCACCACCTAGGCATCCGCCTTTCTTCTGGTGCTTTTCGAACTAGCCCCGTAGAAAGCCTGTATGCAGAGTCAAACGAATAGTCGCTCCATCTGCAGAGATGCTATACGTCTTTTACATACTATCTCGGCGTGAACGCAGACGAGGAACATCCCACTTACTTCACAATTGATGATCTGTCCAATTCTACTTCATTCCACAACTGTCCTTCGCTGAGACAGCCCAACTCACTCCATGTCCGGAGGCTCGCTGAGGAAACAGCCGTGCTACTTGTAGAACACTGTTTAATGGCTCCAGCATTATATCCGCCACCACGGCAATGGCAGGTTATAGACTGCGATCTATCTATCGTGGAGGTCACTAAACACGCACCTACTGCATATATACGCACGCACTTCCTCGAACTCCAGCGCAATAATTATACTTGCCCAGAATTCTTTACGGATGCTTCTAAGTCTCACACTGGTGTGTCCTATGCAGCTGTTGGGCCATCTCTTTCAAATTCCGGTATACTGCACCCCCAAACGAGCATTTTCACCGCAGAAGCCTATGCGTTATCTGTTGCTGTCAGGCATATTAAGGAATTACAACTATAACGCGGGGTTGTTTACACAGATTCGCTGAGCGTCGTTACAGCTTTGAAAACATTAAAAAAACAAAAATTCTGTACTCGTGTCGCTTTACTACCTTTTATGCAGTATCTATGCCCTCAAACGACATGTTGTTGTGTGCTGGGTGCCAGGGCGCCGCGAGATCGCTGTTAACATGGCAGCAGACCAGCTAGCTGCGTCTGTGCACGACCAAACACCCGCCAATACACCCATGGCTGTCTCTTCACTTGACATGAAACCTTTTTTTACGACGGGAGCTCGGGGCGCTCTGGCAATGCCTATGGGATAGGCAAACAGACAACCACTTACAGTTGATCCCGAATATATCGAACTCAAAGGGGATCGCGAAATACAAAATATGCATATTTAAGCGGGAGGCTACCCCAGAAATTGAACTTTATTATTTTTTAAGATATCTTGATGAAACTTTCACGGGTATGTTCACTACAATGTAACTACGAAATTGTGTTCAGTGGTTCTAGAGTTACTGAAGTCTAACTGGGTGATTCACTTGTGTGCCTGAGGAAAAGCCGGAAGAAATCTTAGGACATACCAGAAGGCTGAAATTATTTGTGGTTATCCCTGGATAGATATCCTAGGGCGCTAAAGAACCACTTTTTTTTTTTTTTTTTCAGTTTCCCCTCCAAAAACATTTTATGCAACTTTGAATTGGGTGTAGCCAGTAGGCATGACATTTATCAAAAATAATGATTAATAATAATGGCACTCCGCTACGGTTGTCCAGTGGATAAGGTACTCTGCTGCTGACCTGCAGGTCATGGTTTCGAATCCCGGCTGCGGCGGTTGCATTTCCGATGGAGGCGGAAATGTTGTAGGCCCGTGTGCTCAGATTTGGGTGCACGTTAAACATCCGCAGGTGGTCGAAATTTCCGGAGCCCTCCATTACAGCGTCTCTCATAATCATATGGTGGTTTTGGGACGTAAAATCTTATATATGAATCAATAATAATGGCACCAATTTTTAAAAAAAGAAGCTTGCTACACCCTGGCAAAATCACCCAGGAGCATAATAAAAGTAACGGCACACAAATCTGATTAGCAGTTTTGAGAAATCGCTTTCCTCAGCACCACAACTAGCCTGAAAAATCCATTTTGAGAAAACTGGCATTGAAAGTTTAGCACATGTTTTTTCCTTAAAAAGCTCCAGCAGAGTAGCTTGAAATGTCCTTGTGCACTCTTTTCCTCTTTAGTCTTCCCTCCGTCTTCTCTAAGTGCCGTTTGGAATATTTTTTCAGACAAAGGCAAGAGCCGGCTTCATCAGTTCAAATATTTTAGGCGTCGCTGGCGTAGATTCGAGATCAGCGCGAACGGCGTCTTGACATCTCATATTCGCATAGATTTCTTCCTTAGTTAGGAAATGCTTCCGCAGATGAAGGGTCGATAGCCCACGCATGCTCGATGGCCCTGATGCAGACGATATGCTGAGTCTGGCGATCTCAGCCAACACATGGTGTCACGCTCAACAGCGATTCAGAGCACGTGCTGGACCCGGCGATCTCAGGCACGCTCAATGCATTCGCAGCTCCAGGTACACAAGGTGTGTCTGATTCTGAACTGGTGGCAGCCGACAGCGCAGTTCTGCTGCTGCAAGCGTCGACTCACTGGGCACTTACAGAAGAAAAGCGGAATTTCAATTTTCGTACAAGCCGCATAACGCGTTTCCGCATTTCGAACTTCTACGCCATCTTTGGCTTTGTCGCCGGCATCATGCACAGCAACAAAGATAAAGGGCACAGAACTTGTGCGAAAAAAAAAAAAAAGATAAACTGGTCGAAAATACAGCACAAGGATAAAAGCGGCTCATAAGCAGATGTCTGTCGAGGCGGACTGAGCAGAGAGCAACAGCGAGACGAGCGTGCCGGCCGTGCCATTGCCGGGGCGGACCTCCCCCGCTTCCAGCGCAGCAGCCAAAGGCAAGCGCGCTTTCGCCCGCGAGATATGAATGAGCTGCTCAAGCCAATCATGGCATGGCATCCCGGGGAAATACCAATAGCGTGTGAACCGCGCTGTTTACGCCATTCTAAAAGGCGGCAAACCAGTGAGAAAGAATTCATGGTCAGTACAAGACCAAGATGGCGTGGCACGGCCGTATGGTCTCGAAATGGTGCGTGCGCGAAGTTTGGTTTGATTTTAGCTTTTGCACGTTTTGGGCGCTGCGGCGGCCTCGAAAATAGCATTTCTTCTTTACTTTTTGCGGCCGGCCTCGAAAACTAGCATTTTTATTTACTTTGGGGTTGAATCGGGCGCTCATGTTTACAGAGTAGGTAGTTTGTTACATACAACCCAACAATACGGTTTTTCAAAAACGGACTATTTCGCAATTTTTCAGTTTTCAAGGGCCGCATCCCCCCTTAAGGCCTAAATTGAAGAATTTCAGGCCTCTGAAGTCTCTACAAGAGCTAAGATAACGATTCGCTCAAAAATAAGGTGCGAACTGCAGATTACCGCAATTTATTTAGTCCGTAAACTTGTTTTGCTTCTTGCACGCTGTCAAGTTCCAGTCATCCTTAATATCATTGAAGCTTTTCAAATAAGCGAACTTAGCTTCTTCGGCCACAACGTTGGTTGACGCAGAACGTCGATGCAAGCTTTGTATCACGGCAAAAGCACCGCAAGCGGCAGCAGTGAAGGCGTTTGCACATTCATCATAACACGCATGAGTACACTTCCGCGACACTGGCAGCCAAAATCTCGGCTTCGATGCAGTCATAAACGGCAACATCGTCATCTGTACCGATGAAGTCTCTTTTGTCCGAGATGGTGCCCGGAAACAATGATAAATCGCAGAATTCACTGGCGCACCATACGCCGTTGTTAGCAGTCTTGACGCACCCGAAGTCATCATGTGGCCCGCAAGGAACATTTACAACACAGTGTTTTACTTGATGTCGCTCCAATAACCAGTCATAATTTTTATCGCTACCTGCGAGTCAACGTTTAGTTAAACTCCTGAATGAGGATTTATCGGGAAGGAGGTGAAAAGTGCACAAAATCACTAGGCGCAAAAGACGCAACGCCTAGTTTGTCCGAGTTCTCACCGTCGACATGTTCGCAATATCGATGTCACTATGGCTTTGTAGCTAGCAGCCACTGCTTTTAGCGGCTTTGATGCGTAAAGATGACAAGAAGTGTAGCCTCCGAGACAGGTGTTTCGAAATCGAAAACGCTACAAATTTATGACAAGGTGGCACATCGCGAAGGCCATGCTTTTCAGGCTTGCATGCCATTCTGCGCTAACAAGGAAGGGAATGCGAACCACATGCAAACATTGCACTGAGATTGCAGTCACTTCCCATTCTCATTTCGGTGCCCTCAGCAATCGGTCTTTTGGAAAATCATTATGTCTGCACGCTAAGACCTGCAGATCGCGCATCAAACGTACAGATGTAGCAAGTGCTGCGTAACTAACCAAATCAGTGCGATGGAATAACACCCGTTTTTTTTCGTCGCCTGTGCGTGAAAAAGGATCAAAACTTGTTAGAACACGGCCTAAAATTGACCATTATTTGCTAGGAAAAACGCACTTTCTGGGCTTCAGTGCGGCGCAGCGTTCGATATAGCGGATGTCCCGCTGTGCGGGAGTTTGATATACGGGTGCACCGGTCCCATACTTTTGCATGGGAAGTTCAAGGAAATTTTTCAACTGTTCGATATATTCAAATTTGATGTATCTGGGATCGACTGTACATGTTATTAAACCCATACTTGGAAATTGGCCACCAGTGTCCAGATCACGCTACACACAAGCTACACTTACAAGGCTGCAGATAGGACACACACACTTGACACATCATGCCTTTTGTCTGGCGATGACCTACATATATGTTAAAGATGCGGAGATGCACTTAGGATACTCCACATTCCAGTTCACTGTAGTGATTTGAGGAAAAAACTTTTTATTGCCCTACCGACAACTACCGCTACATCCTGTCATGCTCATCGGTAGGGATCCGCTTTTTAAACTTCAGTCATTTTTTAAGTTTTTAAGGGGGCAGACTGGTCTTTAACGTCTTTTTGCTTATTTCTTCAGTAATCTTGATCAAACTGCACAGGGTTATGCAGTTTTTCCTGCCGATTTCAAATATTTAATTAATTTTCCTGTGACTCATATTGTTCCTGAGATAACTTAAGTTCACCCCGTATTGTTTAAGGCTGCCATAGAAAAAAGTGCTTAATTAAAAGTGATATTTAAGATATGCCAACTTAGACTTATGACTAAAAAGTGAAAGTATGCAAGTTTTTTGTTTTTAGGCCTTTATTGTTTTTTTTTACAGCAAATGAACAATCCATTTTCAAAAGCAGTTGGAATTATATTACAATTTTGATGAGTTTCGATGAGGCTTGTGCTCTAAAATCTGCTCCCATAGTTTCTTTTTACACGCATACAGGTTTCCATTGCAAAAAGAATGATTGTTGTACCTGCCCTAGCTACAGAGATATTGAGGCCTCAAAATTGAACAGTCGTAAATTTACTTTTTTGAGAAAATTGGAAAAAACTGAAAATGCACAGCTTCTTCAAAAAGCAACAATCACGGTGCGCATGTTTTGCAATCCTCATAAAAGTGCTCATAAATTCGTAGCAGAGCTTCTAACACAGGTGCCGGCCAATTATAAAGAAGCCTCAAAGTCTGTTCCCCATTTTTTTGCAGGTTCTGCATGTTAACAACACCAAGAATCTTGACAGTTAGAATGACAGTCCAGAAAAAAATTACTACTTCCTGGTGTGGGAAAATTGCAGAGAGATAGAAAAATACATGCAAAAACCAAATATGTCAATTTTAAAAAATGAATTTTAAAAAATTTTTTTTGTCATTGAATTTTTTGGTCACTTTTTGATCCCAAAGACCAGTCTGCCTCCTTAAAAGATGTCCATAGATTTCACCCCATATTTCGAGGTGATCCATAGCTCGACCTCTGTGCAGAGGTCGCGCTACGTGTGGCCAAAGAGCCATGTGTGGCTCTTTGGCCAACACATGGCTTTTCGTCAATAAACGCCATATATCTCATCATCATGTTGAGCATTTGAAACTATCTTTACCAAAAATTTTCTTCCTGACAAGAAGAAGAAAATGGAAATAGAGCACTGGATGTTGGCATGTTTTTACTTCAGTTCGATAGCTAGCTGACATTCTACTCCCTGCTGTTTGTTGTAGTGGAGTACCTTGGGATGACACATTTGAATCATCATGACTTTAAAATTGGAGTTCTGTTAAAATGGTAAACTTCGATTTCTTTGCAGATCACTATGGAGGCAATGAAGAGTGATATCGATGAAGTAGCGTTGCAGGGCATCGAATTCTGGTCAAATGTCTGTGAAGAGGAAGTGGACCTCTCTATTGAAGCCTCCGAAGTGAGTTACATGCTTATGGCTAGTCTGGGGAGGTGTGCAAAGCATTTTTCTAATCGGACATATAAAGCAAACAATGCTCTTTGCATTGTAATGGCCAATTTATGGGAATTCGGGTTATGCTGGTTTTGAATGAACTGATTGGGTAGCCATTGATTTCATAGATTTCAGCACAAGCAGATATTTCTAATAGTTATGTAAAAAAAAAAACATTTTATATAGGGTAGTTTGATGGCTGAAGTTGCAACATAAAAAAAAAAAGATGTTAGCATTGAAAATGGTGTCTGTAGATGTAGGTTATGATTTTTGAGTATTTACCTCTATGGCCCTGTTTGGGGCTGTTTTTACGCATTTACATGTGCCGTGCGTCAAACATTGTTCTCGAGTTGTGTTTTCATCCGTTTTGTGTGCTTGCAGGCAAGTGAGCAAGGTCGCCCTCCAGCCAGAACATCTCGCTTCTATGCCAAAGGGGCCCTGCAGTACCTGGTGCCCATTTTAGTGCAGACACTCACCAAACAGGTTAGCTCCAAATATGTCACTTGTGCCGCTGTTTAGCCCTGGGCTGTTATTCTTGGAACAGTTATTCAGTATCTTGGGAGAAGGAGGGGTTATATGCTGTTGTCATAAAGTCACTATCTGTAATTGTTTACATTAAGGGGAGATGCTACTCGAAAAAGGTTTTTTTTTATTTCATAACCCAGCTCCTTGAAATTTTAGGTGTTAGTAAAGCTTGCAGTGCTGATTTCATAACTGCAATTATTTGTTTGATAGCTATAGTAGTTCCGGAGTTACTACAACTTTGATATCAAAATATAGTGTTTTTTGTGCACATAATAAAGCTTACTAAAAATTTTCACACAGAATTGCAAAATGGCTCATTTTGCTGCACTTGAGCAGTACAATACAGAAAAGTACCTCAAACAGAAAATTTATTTGCTACATTAAAAAAAAAAAATTAAAAGTACTAAATGCATATTTTACATCTCTCTATCAGTGTATCAAGTTGTGTAACAAAAAATCTGTGATGTATAATGCAACCTAAAGTAGATACTTGTATTCTAGAGTGGCTGATTAAGCTCTGTGCAAAATTTCATCAAGATAGGACTATTTTATGCCTAAAAAAGATTGTGCACAAGATGAGAGAATTACCTCAAAATGGAAATCGAGAAAAATGCATTTGAAAGTTGTAAATATGTTTACTCATGATTACACAGTGCGATTTGCACAAAACTTGGTGATATCATAGAAGGGACACAGCTAGAGCACCTAAAATTGTCCTGCTCCATATGTGGATCCTTCTCGCCGCTTGAGAAGGGAGTCATCAAGGCGCGCTTTCTTTGCCACGTTCCGCCGATGGGCCCTTGCCTCGGCTGTTTCACACGCAGACATTCTTTCGATTCTCCTCTGGTCGCGGGATCGGCCCAGGGTGATCAGTTGATCTGGTGGGACTACACCAAGCTCCTCTAGCACGTGTTCAAAGCTTGAATGTCCTTTATTGAACCACAACACGGCCATAGCAGCTGCAGTTTCCACTGTTGTCCGGGAGGCAAACTTAGTCTTCGGACACAACAACCAGATTTTGCTGTTCAAAGATTCTGCAGCGTTTTGGGTCTTCCCTTGGATACAACGCACCAGCAACTTTTCATCTGTGAGCCGCTTGTAAATGGGAAGCACAGCCAATCCTTGAGCCTTGGTCAAGATTGGTGTGTGGTCGGGTGGGGCCTCCCCAAGCGCTTCAGCTCGCCTATGCTTGCACCAGGAAGTCGCCCCTTCTGGACAGTATCGGTGGCTGCCTGCTGTGTTGCTCGATGATGAATGGAAATATGAGGCCCAGATGGCACGATGCATTTTCAGAATATCACCTCTGTTGTTTGTGATTGCAATACGGTAATAGTTCTGCAGCTTCTGAATTGTGCCATCTGTCAGCTTTTCCCCTCGTGGAAGTCTTGTTGGCAGTTTCCGAAGTGCAGTGCCTAGACGCTTGGCCACATGGTTTGTGCACTCCTCCTTGTCCACAACAGCTTCACCATATACCTTGGCCTCAGCGACAGCGGTATAAGCTTTGCTGTCCCCATCACTGAGGAACTTGGTGAAGCGCAATGGTGTTGTGTATGAGGATGTCCTGCCCCATATGCGCAAAGCTGCCTCAGTCTCCATGGCATGAGAGGAGCACTCTGTATTTTTTTCGCAGACAGGTGTGTGGAATGCTTGCCATATTTCTTCCTCATCACCCAAGTCCTGGTGCCGGCTACAGGCAAGGCAGTAATTCGATAGCACTTCAAAATCTAGGCACAAACCAGTGTCCACAGACACAGCAGTGCCGATGCCATTGTGGCTCTTGTGCCCTCTTTTTTGCCATGTGCCATCATACATGACAGCAACATCAGCCCCATCCACTTTCTCTTTAGTTATCATCCGCGCTTTCGCCATGTTTGCTTGCACAGCTTTGGTAGCTGCAGCATGAACTTTTTTGCCGATTGCAATAAAAGTCTTATGATGCATAGGTATTGGCAGTCCAAGAATAGCGCAAAAACGCGACAGCTGTTCATGCCCAATGCCTATTGCACGCGCAGCCACAACTACCTTCACATTGACAGCGAAGCTGTCGCGCGAGCTGCCGCTTCGGTAGCTCCAGTCATCACCGTCATCGGTGGGCTGTCTTTCCGGCAGAACACGCCGCGAACTATGCGCGGCAGAAACCACTGACTCAGGACACTCACTGTTATCACAGTGCAGCTCGAGGAACGAAGAGAGGCCCTTACGTTTACTTGCGGTGTCGCGAACGACGAGTCCAGCGGTGTGGCATGTTGGACAAACAGCACGGCTTACCATCGATGTCAGTGCGCCGATGTCACAAAATACTCCGCTCACAGAGCCACAAACACTCTTCGTTCTTTCGCTTTCGAACTGTTCAATCTTTTTTCTGATGCGCTGATGAACTTGATCGCGGCGTCGATTTCGTCAAAGTTCCCGCAAGCCGCCGTATCCCCGCTGCCTTGATTAGGCCTAGTGGCCCGCGGCTCGCATTCTTCTACCGCGGCTTTGCGCTTCGGTTTACGTCGACGCCCTTGGTACTTGTTCTTGCTTGCAAACTTTCGTGCTCGGAAGTCTCGCTTCTTCGAGTTATCCATGGTGAACTCGGAAAAACATAGAAACGCACGGCAAGTGCCGATCGTCGCAAGCGCTCAGCGAGCGAGGCCGATCAGATGTAGCCAATGGCGGCCTCGGTAGCGTACCATGTGACCGGTAGAGATGCGCGAAGCGGCTGCAGCTTGGCTGCAAACCGACTTGGAAACGACTGTTTTGTGAAATTCCTCACTAAAATACGAAACTAGGGGGACGCCTGTACACTAGAAGGAGCCTTGATCTACACCACCGAACAAACCCCGATGGCGGACGTCATCGTGTTGCCGAGTGGCGGATTTTCAAAAATAGCCGTCGGATGCGTGAATTCGCGACTTCGGCAGCTACCTTCACTAGCGCAGATCGATTTTTTACCACTTTCTCATTTGAATTCAGCTATGACCTTTGGGGAAATGATAGTTGAATGATCAAAAGTGATTTTTAGCAGCAATATCTCAAAAGTGGAAATTTTCGCAAAAAACGCGATTTTTCGACCCGCATCTCCCCTTAATAGCTTTGGAGAATATCTTCTAAGTGTTGCTATCTGATAACAACAATGCAGCACTGTTTACAAGTATCTGATGGTACATAAAACCACATTGTAATCAACCTTGTGTGTTGAGGTCTTCAAACATTGCAAGAACTGGCCGAACAGTGTTCAGTAAACAAGCTCGAAATAAATTGCCTGTCTTTGCAAGTAAGTGGTATACATTCATAAGTGCATCTATATACTGTATAAACCGGAATATAAGTTGAGATATTTTCAATAAAACGAGCTAAAGTCGCCCCTCGTCTTGTATAGCCGTGTCTAGCCAACAGTGCACCACTGTCTGGCGACGTGTGGCTTGCATGTGCGTCAGAAGCCAGACGCGGCCATATTCGCATCCAAATATCCAATATAATTGAGCCCGCTTATAACAAACCTGAGCCTGATGCAACATCCGTTCGCTGTATCCCGAAGTTCGCAGCAAATGAAATGCAGCTTTTAAAAAAGTTGCGACTGAAAACACTAACTTTTTTTGCCCAAAAAAGTACGTGACGCACGTGTTTCGAAGAGCAGAAGCGGTAAGGGGGTCTCGAGTTTACAGTCGACTCTCATTAATTCAAACTCGAAGGGACCCCTGGATTTTGTTTGAATTATCAGGCTGTTTGAATTATCAGAAGTTCTCATATATGCGACTCTGGGTAAGGTGACAGCACAAATTATGATCAGACATCTATATTCACACTTTTAAGCATCTCTAGATCCTAACTACACAAAAACAGAGAGCGGTGCATGTATGGTCAACAAGTTTATTGACTATCTACTGCTGACTAGACCTTTTAAAAAAATCATGGATGGTCAACTGCTTATTTGCCACATGCGCATTTAGCACAAAGCTATCGATGCCAGTAAGTGCTGCCAGTTGATTCTGAGAGTTTTCTGTTGTTGTCAGAAATTTTCTCACTTTAGCAATGTACTGGAAAGCCTGTGCAGTTGTCACATTTTCCACTTCCGGTTCTTCTTCACTTTCACTGCTGTGTTGTGCTAACAGCACCTCTGCCACCAAGTCATCGAGTGTGTCCTCCCTGCACACGCACAGGTTATCATCAGTAGCTGCATAACTGTCGAGGTCGGCAGCTATGTTGTGTGCTTTTAGAGCAGACAGCACTTGGCTTTCATCGTCGCCCTCAGTCTGCAAGCAGTCAGATGAAGTGGCAATGCTGCAGCCAGGTATGCGGAAGGCATGCTCGAAGCAGTTCCTTATTGTTGCTGATGTGACAGCATTCCATGCGTCGGCGAGCATGCCCAACGATGAGAGTAGTGTGACACTGTAAGGCATGGAATTGTCCATACATATCAGCATTCTCTTTAGCAGTGTTTTCCGGTAATTAAGCTTCAAGCATTTGATTACCCCTTGATCCAGGGGCTGGAGGACAGCTGTAGTGTTAGGAGGCAGAAATTCAAGGCGAATTGCTTCCAGCCCCTCCACGTCGCCGTGCGCAGGGCAGTTATCAACAATGAGCAAAATTTTCCTTTTCGCTCGCTTCATTTGCCCATCCAGTTTGCGGAGCCAACCCTCGAACAAAGCTTGCGTCATCCAGGCTCGCGTGTTTCCGTCATATGCAACTGGGAGCGTTCGGACGCCTTTAAAGCACCTGGGACGCTTTGACTTGCCCACAACGAAGAGTTCTGGCTTGCGCCTTCCGTCCATATTGGCCCAAACCATGACGGTTAACCGTTCTTTGCTCAGCTTTCCGCCAGTGCAACGCTCTCCCTTGCGACACAAGGTTTGATCGGGCAGGCACTTCAAAAACAGCCCCATTTCGTCGGCATTATATACATCAGCCGGGGAGTATTCAAGCAGCAGGCTTTGAAGTCTAGTCTGCCACCAGTCAGAAGAAACAGCTTCATC